TAATGATATTAGATATTTACTAATGTACTAATATTTATGATTATACATATTTAATTTAAATTTTAAAATAAAATTTAAATTACTACCTATTTCAGAGAAAAATAACTTATTTAAATAATTTTTAATTAAATTTAGATTTGTATTAAATGCAGTTAAGCATTATTATTTTGAAAGAAATTAAATGAAAAATAAATATCTAAAAATAAAGTTTTAATTAATACGATTTTAATTTAAATTTTAATAAGAAGATGTGAATATTGTTTTCTATATTGATTATTCTTAAAAAAATTAAAAAAATTTTCCTACATACAAGTCAAAATAATAATTTTTAATTTAATAAAACGCGGATTACCTGGATATCACATTATGTTTATTAAATTTATTCAAAACTATTAATGTCGCTGACGAAATTAAAAAATAAAGAATTTTTAATATATTTTGATGATGTTTTGTGATTGACTAAAATTTCAGTTAATTTTGTCCTTTTTTGTTATGTTTTTTTTCATCGTGCTTACTTTTGAATTTTACTGCTGAAATTTCTATTTTTTAAATGTCTTTGTGAACATTCATTTCTTTATAAATATTGTGATATTTAGAGATAAAGATTTTAGTTGTATTAATTTTGTTTAATTGTTTTATTTAGATTAATTATTCTGAGGGAATAATTAATTCTGAGATATTTTTTCACTATCAAATAAATAGGAAGGTGTAATTTCCTCGAGAAGAGGCAATATTTTACAATAAAATAAATATTTAATAGAATTATTCGTGATTTTTAAATCTTTACACGTGAAATAAAATTTTAATTTGATATAGGTAGATTTACCTTTAAATATAATATAATGTAAAGCATATAGCTATTAATTTCCTAAGGCTGAGCAGTAGGCGGCGTGGTGTAATGGCTAACACATCAGTCCGGTCTACTGAAGATGCTGGTTCGCTCCCAGCCGCCGAATAACCTTTTGCACTAGCTAAAGGAGAGAAATAGCTATAGCCCAGCTGCTTTACTATAATAAATATAAAAAACAGAAAAATTGAATTGATATGATTAATAAAATTAATTTTAAAAAGTATTAAAAATATATAATAATTAAAAATGCTTAAAATAAAATTTAAATAATGAATTAAAGTTTAATTTTTTATTGAACTTTATTAGTCCTCAACAGATTGTGTTAAAATATTCCCAAATTTATGAAGAAGATATATTTAAAACGATATTTATTTCGAGTCGTAAAATAAAGACCAAGAGCAAATTTATTAATTTTTATTATATCAATTTAAAAATTAAAATAAAAGACAATGAAATTAATGGAAATAACAGGCCTTAAGTAATATTTTGCTGTATGTATTATTTTTCAATAACTGGTAAAAATTAAAAATTTGATTTAATCCTTCAACTTGAAATAAAACGTTTACATTTTACAAAATATAACTAAATTTTTTAGCTTATTTTATTTATTAAATTTAGATTTTAAAATATTATTAGATTTAATTTCAAGGAAATCGTTGTTCATTGAAGCAATTCGAGCAAATCGTTGAATTGAATGCTATGAAAAAGATGTCAACTTCATTAAAAATTAAATAATGATGTGAACAATTACGAATTTATTTTATGATTTTATTAAATAAAATAATAAAAATAGATTAAGTATTAATTAAATAAATTTAAATAGATTTAGTTTAATCCAACTTATAAATTTATTATTGACTTTATAAAGCAAAGCTTGTTGTCAAATGTTTTGCGCGGTACGCTAAAATTTTAAGCATAAAAAATCAAAAAAATATACAAATTAACTAAAAAATAAATCGAGAGAAATAAAGGTTATGTAATAAAATTGTATAATAAAAAATTATTATATAAAAATTATTAATATAACCGGCATGACAGGGAGGATGCGGACGGTCCCTTAATCTTGGCATATAAATTAATATGTAATAATGTAATAGTTCATATACAAAAGTTTAATTATCATTTAGTAATAGAATTAACGAAAATTTACTGCTATTTTAAAATAAAAATAATTTAATTTAGAAAATATGAATTTATCAATTTGCTTCGCAAAGTGTCGTTAAAAGATGAGGAAAATTGAAAATAAAGAAAGTTTAAAATATAAATTTAAAAAAGATGAATCATTAAGTCATTTAAAAGTAAAGAATTTTAAAGAAATATTCACTTATTCTTCTAGTTTTAATTCCGTTTCTTTTCTCTTTCTAAAAATAATAATTTTTTCTTTTGTTGGAAATAAATAAAACAAGATTTGAAAATTTAATTTGAGTTTAAAGTGTTTGAATTGAAAGTGATTTAATTTTCCCTACAGAAGGTAGGAAGGTAAATTTATCTCTTAATTGTAGAGATATTTTTTTACACAAAGACAAAATTACATAACATATTAAATGGGTAATAAATATTAATATTATAAATTTAAAACGATTTGAAAAACTACGATTAATTTATTTACATTTATGTGAGGTCTAAAAAAAATAGATTAATAAATATTAAAATTATAAATTTTTGCTAAATAGATAGATGTAAAGGAGACGTTGATCCCACCATTTTCAGTCAATTAAAAATAATTATTAGTTTAATGAACAATAAATGTAATCTTCTTTATGAATTTATAATTATCATAAATTATTTTTTAAAGAAAATAATGAAATAATTTTATTTGAACTTCATTTTAAATTATTGTTGATTACTAACTCAACGAATAACTAATCAACATCACAGCTCATGAAATAAAATTAAAAAATCATTATTATCGAACGAAATAGAGTAATATATTTTGTAAAGATGTTTTTGGTTTCGGTTCCAACAACCATTTTAATCCATTAAAAAAGATAGAAATTGCGTAAATAAACTGATGAAAAATATTAGTTTAATGAACAATTAGTATAATTAAATTATTTTTTAAAGCAAATAATGAAATAAAAAAAGTTGAAAATTTATTAAATAAAAATTGTTAAATATATTTAATTAATTAATTACGGGTCTTAATAAGGGTGACAACAGTGGACCGTTATGTACATTTATTTTAAATTTTAAGAATTAAAAAATAGTCATTAAGTATGCTTATAAAATAAAGTAATTAATTTAATAAAATACCTAATTTAATTTATTATTATAAGGCCAAGCGAGACTAATAATTAGCAAGATTAATAAGTAAAATTAATAATTATAGAATTATAAAAAAAAGCTACCAACGGGGATATGTAACAAAGTTTAATAATTTAATTTTTTAATTTTTATATTTAGAAATAATTTAATTTTGATTTTAAATAGAAGATAAAATAAAATATAAAGAGGAAATTGTCTTTATTATGCCTGTCAGGCCTATTTATTACTTAGCAAAATTTCAAATTTATTTATTTTAAAATAATTATTTTATTGAATAAATTTTTAGCAAAATTCACTTAATTTTTTTTTAGAATTTCGTATAATTTAAAAAAAAAGTTCTTTTTGTTTGTCATATTTATTTAGCTTAATTAATGAATTATTTTGGGAAATTCTAATGGAAAAATAATTTTTAATTTTTTAAACATTTTTGTACTCGAATATTTTAATTAATAACGAATAAGTATAATTTTTTTATTTTAAGTAAAACTCATTCGTTTTAATAGAAATTTTTGGTACTGATTATTAGATATATTTGTTTAGCTTACATGTTTTTGTTGAGTTTTTTTTTCCTTTTTTAAATGAAGTAATTTTCATTGTTAATTCTATTAATTTTCTCATTTTTCTTTAAAAGATTATTAATTCAAAATCTATTATATTATCAAAATATGAATAATAATAATTTAAATGCAAAACTTCTTAGTTGCGAAATTTGTGGAAAACAAAGTGAAAGCAGAAATTATAATGTTGTTAGTTGTCCAAGTAATTTTTTTAATAAAAAATTTGATATGAAAATGAAACATTTTATGAAAATTTTTAAAAAATTAAGTGTTCCAAATATCCTAGACAATTTATAAAAGTTAACAAAAAATTTTAAACAATTACTAACAACCAAATAAAAAATTCTATTAACATTTCCATTGACTGGAACAGTAGATTAGTTTGTAATCGCTTCCTTCATCGAGATCTCAAATCTTGAAAACCGAGGGAAAGTGGGGTTCTATAACAGAATTCGTATACCCGAGGATACGATCTTCGGATTTTTCTGAAATTATTTTGGATGTTTTGTTTTCAACTCCTTTCTATGGTCTGTCCCAAAAAACCTAGATACCCCCAAATTTTTCATATATCTCGACTTAAAATTGTTAAATTTTTATAATTAAATCTATAATAATTCAATAGCAAAAACCTTCTTTTTTACAAAAAGGATTTTAGTAAAACAACAATTTTACCGAAAGTTATGAAAAATTTTCGAAAAATTAAGTGTTCCGAATATCCTAGACAGTTTATAAAAATTAACAAAAAATTCTTAAACAATTACTAAGTGCCAAATAAAAAATTATTAAAAAAATAATAAATAAAAATCCATTATTTCCATTGACTGAAATAGTATATTATTCTGTAATCGCTTCCTTAATCGAGATCTCAAATCTTGAAAATCAAGGGAAAGTGGGGTTCTATAATTATCTTAAAGACAGAGATAAGGACAGAATTCGTATACTCGAGGATACAATCTTCGGTTACCATCTATATTTTTGTTAATTCCCAACATCAAAAATGACGTGCTTTAAATGTGGAGTTGGAACTTGGGCTAAAATTTAAGGTAGTGAATAGTTGGGGTTGTCGCTGGTTGTAAATATGTAGAGTCTCCGCCTTAACTCTTTAAAAAATTTTTTTAAAAAGAAAGTACTAATTTCGTTTTTAAGGCTGTAAGCAATTTTTTCGCCGTACAGTTTTGTATCAAAAGGTTGTCAATTGTAAACGAAATAAAAAGTGTGATATAATAAATGGTTGGTGTCATTAATTAATTAAGCAAACTGAAATTTTATTAATTATATTAGGTGATAAATGTAGAGGTTGCCGTTTTGATAAATGTTTAATTGAAGGAATGGATCCTTTGCTGATAAAAATTGATGATATAAATTACCGAAATGAATTTATTGAAATGTTGGAAAAACGTCGAAATAAATTACAACAAACAAAATCTAACGATTTATATCCTCAAGAAGATCAAAAATCTATTTGTGTTAAAAATAATAAAAATTTCAATGAATATAAACAATCAACAAGTAATCAAGATGCTTGTATAGGTAATGAATTATGTTTTAATGACACAACAATTGGTATAACTAATTTTCTTTGATAAAGAATTTTTGAAAAAAAGCAGGGGGTATTTTTTGACAGTTTATTATTGAGTTCCTAAATTTGGTTTTGTTCGAAATTTCTAAGTCTTTACCTGTATTTCCAGAACTTGATGTTAAAGATCGAGTTTGTTATTATTATTATTAAGATTACGGATTCGCTAAAAGGGTGCATACCACAGGGACTATGACAATAAGTCGGTTAGCATGCCCATATATAAATTATTAAACTCAACATCATTAAAAATCCCATGTAAAATTGAGTTGTATCTTAAGCATCGAACAGCTCTCCCCCGGTGCCAACCAAAATATTTAAAAAATCAGAGATTTGACTTATTTAAATTAAAATTGTTTTGGAATATTATTCATTATTAAAGGTCAACAAAATTATTTCATATCTTCCAATATAAATGCTGAAAAAAGTCAAGTAAGCAATTAAAAAAAAATTTTTTGAAGATATTTTTAAATTAAAGATGGAATTTTTACTTCAAATTTGTGAAGCACAAAACCGAATAAGAAATGCATTTATGGATTATGATGAACAAGAATTTTTATCTATGAAATTTAATTCATTACAAGATGTTTTAAATTTTGGGCCAAATATTATTTCAAAAGCATCTGAATTTTCGGTAAAAAATAAAAATATAAAATGGGACACGCCTGAAACATGCCCTAACATGTTTCAAAATTGCTCAATCTTTCTAAATTTGTATAAAACTATTCCTCTTATCGAGTTGAGGAGATTAGTACCAAAATTTATAAAGGAACATGTTAGTGTTCCTTTATAAACATGTCAGTGAACAGGTAGAACTTTACTAATTATAGGAAATGCCAAGGCCTATTAGTTCAACTGAATTTTACGAAGAAAGTGCACAATTTTGTCAATATACTTATCGTGTTGCTAAATTTTTTCTTGTTCAGAAACTTATTTGTATTGGAATTTTTAAGTCTTTACCTGTTTTTTCGAAACTTGATGTTAAAGATCAAGTATGTTATTATTATTAAGGTTGCAGTTTGCTTAAGGGGCTAGTATGACAGGGACAAATAAATCAAAAATGTTTAAGGCTTCATTACTATGCAAAACCTCGGAATTGTTTTACTGATAGATAACTAGAGGCAGGATTTTTATGCAAATGCATAATTTCTTGCAGACTAGGGATGTAGTGTAATGTAGTGTAAAAACAGTTTCTGCCTTAAAACTAGACTTTCTTCCTTAAATTAGACCAATACTTTAAATTTTAATATTAACTTTATTAAATTAATAATTGAGTTAATTATTCAAGTTAACCATTTTCCAATATGTGGCACATCCAGTATCACTGCTTGGCGTTTACTTTGCTTCATATAAATTGGGTTCTCGTACTATGATAGGAAAAGATGGTTTTTATCCCATGGCTGCTTTCGCTTATCAATTTAGTTTTAAAAATGATAAAACGTAAATAAAAATAAATTTAAATAATAATATTTAATGAATTTCTTGATTTTAAGACTATTCTCTCTGGCAAATAAAGTATTAAGTAAACCGATAGAGCCTTTTTTTGACATTGGAATTTCTAAAGAAGAATTTAGTTTAATTTTGGCTATTGTTTTTTTAAATCCAGGTATTTTAATTAAAATATTAATTAAAGAATATTTTTTAAAAAGATATCCCAAATTTGTCGGAATCAGCGAGAAATATTCTTTCAAATGAATTTTCTTATTATTCAAAAATGTTACTTGATTATTTACACAATAAATTGGGTATAGATGCTGGAACTAAAAAATATGCTGAATGTTTTCATTTAATTACAGCCTCATTTATTGGAGCAAAAAACCTTCAGTTATTAATAACCTACCAAGAAGCTTTCTATAAACGTCCATTAGAAAGCTTTATAATGCCAAAATGTTTTAAAGACATATAGCTAATTTAATTTTTAATAAAAATAATTAAATATTACTATTTTTATTTAGTGACTGATGTCATTTAATAATTTTATTTTTGCTTTTATATTTTATATTGAATTCTCAAATACAATTAAACAATTTATTTATAACCACCCAAATAACATTTAAAATTACAAATCTAAACTACAACTAGGTAATCTGTGTTGTTTTCCAAAAAGCCTTTGATAAAGTTCGAATATTTATTTTGGCATGGGTGGATGTTGAGATTGAGATAAATGGTTTGGGTTCGGAAATACTAATATTGCATCTTTTTGAGATTTTTTAAAAATTAAATAGTTAAAATCATTGATTAAATATATTGATTAAATATAATTTTTTTAAATTATGTATAACATTAAAATTGGTTAATTAATTTAATATTAAAATTAAATAAATAATTATAAGAAATATTAAGATATATTAAATTAGTGCTTATTATGCAAATTATATTCAAAACATTAAAACAAAAAATCAAAACATTAAAATATCTAATATATGTAAATTTTATATTATAATATAATTAAATTAAATTATTGAGCTTGAATTAAGAGTAGGACAGGCAATTCATTTTAAAGCAGGTTCAAAAATTAAACAATTAAACTGTTAAAAATATTTGTTGAAATAACTTTATTAATTACCTAATTTAAAAAAGAACATTAAATTAACATTTTTTTAGAAAATCTGCTTCAAATAAATTATTTTTATTGAATTAATTAAATTTAAAAAATTATATGTACATAAAATAAAAATAGCAAAAATATTTCAATAATTTTATCAATTAGAGACTATGGAGGCCGTCTAGATATTTGGCAACAAAAACATTATTTAAATGTAGATAAAAAACATAGAAATTTATTTGACTAAAAATAACTAAATTTTGCAATGTTGGTCGTTTAACTTAATTTTAATTATTTTTGAATATTTTTTGAAATTTTTTAGAAAATTTTACTCGTTATTTTTTAATTAACATTTTTTAAATAAGCTTAAGTAAAGAAATCAAAAATTAAAACGAAAATAACAACATTTTGATTTTTAATGTTAACTTTAGGATGTTGTCCTTTAAGAAGTATGTATAATCATCCTTAAACTTGTAATGCTGACAAATAATAAAATGGTAACATTAGCTTACTTATAAATTATTAAAAATAAATTTGTTGAAATTATTTTAAGGTCTCCCACGCATTTTCTGAAGTAAATATTTTTAAAGTATGGATAAATTTTAATTATAAATTGTTGGTATTCTTAAAGTTTATATGTTCCCGATTTTTTAAAAATATTTAATTCAAAAAATGTGTGGGAGATAAATATAAATATTTTTCTCTGATCCTCAATAAATGAAAAGCCACGTTATAAATCCTCTTCAAAAAAATGTATAAATAAATCTGATTGACTCTAAATATTTTTAACAACTAATTTAAAAATTATAATAAAAAATAAAAAATAAATATTTATTTTTAATTTATTCCTCAATAACAATTTTTTCAATTTCAAACATTAAATAATTTTTATTTTCTAAAAAAATTTAAAAATAACATAAATTTGTTAATAACTAAAAGAAACCAATAAAATCTTAATAAAAATGTCAACGTTTATTTAATCATAATATTTTCTGAATTTGTCATTTCATTTTTTATTTTATTTATAACAAAATTTACTTCCCAAAATTTTTAATATATAAAGACAAAATAAATTTATTTATTTATGTAATAAAATAAGTTACTAATATCTAATGTAGAAATATTTTTCCGTTCTTTTTAAATTTGACTTTAAAAAAATTTTCCGTTCTTTTTTTAAATCAAAGGAGCTTAATCCGCTAATATTAATACATATAACATAGAGGTTCGAATAATAACATGGGACTATGTAATTATTCTTCCAACCTTTAGCTGGATGTGGTAATTATTTGAGCTGGAGTAATTATGTATTTACCATTTTAATTAAGGGTAATTCTAGAGTTTTATATTTTCTGTAAATTTTCGTTACAGAAATAGCATACTTTTTTATTTCCGCAAAGTTTGTATTTCTGGTAAATATAAATTGAGAATTATAATTTTATTAATAAATTATTAGTTTATTAAGTTAATTATTTCATTTTCAATCTCCCAATTTCTCTTAAGACAGCCTCTGTCCATAGTTTTATATAATTTGTATTTTCCCGGTTTTCCTGGTCCAATTTTTTTTCAAATAACGTAAAAATAACATTTAACCTACTATTTTAAAAATATAAAAAAATAATGATTTACAACAAAATCATCAATTCTTGGATTATTTTATTTTTAATTTTTGTCGACATTTTTATAAGCGTTTATGGTATTTTTATTTAATTTGGAATTAAATAATTATACAAAATCAGGTGCTGATGTAACCCCTGCACAGGCGTTAAAATTTGTAAATAGCAAAATGACAAAATCTAATCAAGTTAACAAGAAGCCACATATTAATACTATGAGTAAGAAAACCGTGAATGTATATCAGGTAAAAAATAAATTAGTTAAATGTAGATAAAATTTAAAAATCTTATTAAAATATAATTAGGTGAAAACCGGCATATATGCATATGCATCGGGACTGGCAGTTGATACTGATGGAAGCGATCCCGATGATGACCCCGACCATCAGGTTGGGTTCTTTTTAAGGCATTTGCTAAATTAAATTAATTCCCCAGGATGAAACCAAGTGGAAAGATTCGGACGGCGAAAGTATTGGGGCGCATCGCGTTCCATACTATGTGCTAGGAGACACTTGCCCTGAAGAGACGAAACCGTGCCCATATTTCTTCTACAAAGAACACAATATTGCTGGATTACAGTTTGCGTTATTCTTTTTCAAAGGAAAGGCGATAGGTGCTGTTTTTGGGGACACACAAGGTAATTTGGGAATCTTTAAGACAAATGAAGAAATTAATTTAAAAATCAAAAAGGTGATTCTGAGACTGACACCTCCAGTAATGATTCGAGAGAACTCGGGGAAGCGTCAGTCAAAACTGCCCAATTACTTGGAATCAACAGTAGTGGCACAAATGGAGGTGTGGATTCGGGTGTTACTGTGGTTATTTTCTCTGGAAGTAGTTGGGTGGTGAAAGGAACAAACGATAATTTAAGCAGTAAAGCACAGGCGCTAGTCAAAAAGGCTTTGAATTTATTGAAATGAAATTAAATTGAAATGAAAATGAAATTAATTTAAATAATACTTAAGGGTGTATTGTTGTTAACCCTGATAAATATAATATTTTTCGGATAAATGAATTATTAATTTATTTTAGAGAAAACAGCATTAATTAAAAATAAAATATATGTAGTCTTGCTAAATATAAATTTCGTAAAATTCTTTTGAAAAAAAATTTTTTTGAACACTTGTAAAACAATATAAAGCAAATTTACGCATTCCCAAAGAAATGCTTCCAAAAAGTAGGGTAAACCCATAAGCGTCCCCCTACACGGAAATCTTTAGTAAAAGGCGAAAGATTTCTTCGTCCGAATACAACGGGACCAGGGATAAAAATTAAGAATTTAAATAAATTTATTCTAAATAAATATAAATTATTAGATGTGTTTCTATTTGAATGCAGATTAATATACAAAAACAAAAATTCTTTACTATTTTCTCCATCTTTTCTTATAATATTTATTTTCTTCTAGTATCTTTCCATTCTGTATTTCTTTATCTTTTTTTCTCAGCATCATTTCATGTTTATAATATACCGTAAGTCCGATGTAATTTTTGAACAAGAGCGATTTGCTCAGTACTTCCACTAAAAAAGGTGAAGCACGAAGTGACACATCCAAAAAATTACAAAGTCGAAGGCCTAAAACGTTTACAGCATAAAATTTTTATCTGGAATATTTAAATTTCTAGCCCTTTGTTTTCCTTTTGCATGTAACAATACTTTAATTTTGGAATTTATTTATGCGAACATTCAAAAACAAAACTAAAAATAATTTAAAAAAAAAGAAAAAATGTACAAATATGAAATAAGGTAAAGATAGAGAACGGGCAAAATAATAAATTGATTTATTTGGTGATTGAGCAGGCAACATCAGCTAAATTGGATTTAATTAATATTTCCGATCCGCCGCGGCAACTCTTGTTTTTTAATAATTTTAATATTCTTCTACTTTGTTGTTATTTTTGTGTTCGCAAAAAAATTAAACTCCCATTTTTTAAACCATCATTTCATCTCCAGGCAAAATTGCTGCATGAAGCTTTTGAAGCAGTTCAGAATTTTCGTAGAAATCGTGCATTTCAATTGGTTTTAAATGTTTTAGCATCGAATAGTTTTCGGGAATTTTATCATTAAAGTTATTGAACATTTTAAGAATTTTTTTGATACTGACCAAAACTGAAAATAATAATTAATATTTAAGCTAATATTTTTAGTATAGGCAGGCTTAATGATTATAACCATATATATCAACCTTTACATACTTAAAACATGATTAGCAATATTTCTAGCACAGGAATTTCTCAGAAAATTTGTTTGAGCTTTTTGAAATTTTTGGTTTTGGGAGAATTTTTTGTACTGGATTTTGTTTAAATAAATTACCCATATCGGCTGTTTCAAGACGAGAAATTATTTCATTAAAAAATGTTTCGTTGTCATCTACGAAGAATGCATGGATGTTTTTAGCAATAAAATTGTCTGCTTTGTGAATAGTTTTAGTAACGTTTTCAATCACTTCATCTCGAGACACAGTTGATTTCTGAAAATATATTGTAGAGTTGACTAAGTAGTAAAATTTTATGTCTACTATCAAAATTTTGGAACTAGAGGAAATACAATTGACAGAGAAAATTTGTTAGGATATGACACAAGTTGGGCTCGAATTTAAGGATTGTTTAAGAAACAAGCTCGAAAAAGAGATGTTTTTTCATAAATGAAACTGTTAAATCTGCTGGAAAAATCATTTATCTTCAAGAAAAATCATTATTAAAAGGTCAGGTGATTAAAAGGGCAACTTAAATCTTCTGGTGTCAATATAATTAGGACCTCCATCATAAATTATTTTTATATTTAAAAATAACATTTAAAAAGCATACCTCAATTTTAAGTAAATCCAATAATGGATATTTAATTGTTGGCAAACGGAAATATTCGAGTAATTTTATTGGATCGTCTCCATTTCCCTCTTCCTCAAGTTTTTTCAAAACCATTTCTACTTCGAAAACTAGAGGAATTACCGAAAAGAGTTGGTAACACTCATGAAGTGCCACAAACAAATTAGCAGCATTTCTCAAATTTTCTTGAGAATCCCTCTCATTTTTAGTTAAACCCATTAAGATATGCGAAATATTTAGTAAATTTTTACTATCATCTTGGGAAGAATTAAAACTATTGTTACGATATATAAGTCCAGTTTGGATTTGGAATTCGCCAATATTCTGAAAAAGATATTGATATATAAATCTTTTAATAACTGTAATATCAATGATAATTAAAGCATTTTATATAATTTTATTTAAACTTCATGTGTCGGCAAGCTCATGCTTGGAAATTCACTTCTGGTTAAGGTATGGAGCCGCAAAAGGAAGGTTTATAATTAGCACATCTATCGGTTACCAAAAATTTGGAGTGTGTTATTAACTGTGTTATTAAACAAAAAGAATTAACAAAGGCCCACTGGTCATATGTTAGAGAATGAAGTTATGGAACATAAATTCACATCCTCTATTAAATTATAATTAAAAATATTAGTTTTTATTTTAAATTATTGTGCTATTATAAAGCAAGGATGTTGTGGACAATGTATATTCAGTTATTTATCTTCTAATACTTAGATAATTCAGACTTACGTGGATATATTCTTTTATCTTTATAGCAATTATCCCGGCTTTTGAATAAAGCATTGTGTCTCCTTCTTTGTTTGGTTTATCAACTTTTTTACCATTTTCATCTTTTCCAATTTTGTTTTTTTTATTTTTGTCATATGGAACACTATACAAATAATGCTCAAATTCCTCACTACTCATTTTCTTTTGCTCTTTAGCAAAAAAAATTTCTCCAATTTTATTGTTCTTGTTTGCATTATAAGGAACAGCGGCCTCATTGCCTTTATCTATCTTTTTTACCTTATGAATGAGATCATTTCCCTTACTTTTTGTAAGCTTTTCTTGATTCGTAGGCAAATCTTCTGAGATTTTATTTTCATTTTTATTTGTTGCTTTGAGATTCTTTGAATGGTATTGGCATGCTACCGGGAATGAAACATTTCCCGGTGTAAATTTATTAATGCCGTTACCACCCCCGCTCATTTTCAATTTATTCTCAATAGTTGATGAACGGCCAGAACAGCCTGAATTTTTAATTAGAATTCCTTAACTATGATATGAGAAAATTCTCAGCCTACTTTGTCTCTAAAAATTTTATTAAAAAAATAATTACTCGGATGCATGGAAAGCATTGCCGCTACTTGACGATTGTAAAGAAAAACAATTGCCTCAAGAAGTAACGCCGTTAAGGTGAATGATGAAGGACTCATTTTTAGTTGTTTAGGAATTTTTAAATAATATTTTTTGAATAAATAAAATTTTTCGGTCTCCTTTTAAAGTCAGAGAAATAATAAAAGTGCAAATTTGATAGACTTGACATAAGTGAATTAAATAAACAAACAACGTTAAGAAATTTAAGAATATTAACTCATAATAATGAAATAAATGCCCTTTGACTGGCAAAAATATTTTTCCCATTTAATTATTTAAAAATCGTTTCCGTAATTTTATTTTAAAATTCTTTTTCTTATTTTTCACAGAAAAGGTTTAACTTTTTAAATTTCAAATGATAAATTAATTTAAATTTGAACCTTAATTAATTATTTAAAATTTATTATTAATTTTTAGAGAGCGGGCTGGATCTGGATCCAGACCTTGATTATATTATAAATTGAATATTTAAATTAATTTATCCTTTTCCTGGATCAAGAGTCCAGATCAAGGCATTTTTCAGCGTTCCTTGATTTTTCCTTAACTCATGAATCTGATCAAGGTACCCAACCGAAATCAAAATCAAGGATCAAGGTCAAGGTTTTTTGAAAATCTCGCTCTCTAGTAATTTTATTTTAAAAGTGCCTTTACTATTTTCAATTTATAAATCTTTCAAAAATTAATTTAACCATGATTGCAGAATTTGACGATTCATTATCTGATTGAGACGCAGTTGAATTATGCTGTGGCGATATTTCCGCTTCGTCATAAGATGTTGATGGGACCATATGAGATAATTGATAGGCTACTTGAGACATTAATAGAGCATGACTTTTAGAGTTATTTCCGTGGGAGTTATTTCCATCGACGGGCGACGTTGGAGGAGCTTGTATTGTTTCTAATGCGTCATCGTATTCGTGATCATGAACAGGCAAAGTTCGAGGAGAATGGATTCCGCTTGCACTCTTTTCAACTCCGTCATTCTTTGTGATGAATGGATAAAGTAAAATTTATTTTAAAGTTTATAATTAATAAATTTATTAAAATAATGACTTAACAAATTTTTAAGACAATCATCTCAAATTCAATACTATTTTATTAATTGATACTTTAAAAAATAAATCCGCATCAGATACTCTCATATAAATATTATCACTACTTAATCACCTTAAATACAAAACAATTGGACCTTCCCTTTTTTATCAAAACTTATTTTATATTTTAAAAAACCTACATGATCTCTCTTCCTTTTTTTACCAATTATTCCAGAATTTACAAAGAAAATAATGAATGACAAAAAGAAAAATAAATAAAATTTTTTCATATTTTTTTGTAAAATAATTTTTATTTATTTAAATGTTTAATTAAATTTTATAAAAATAAAAGAAGACGATAAAAATTGGGAAATAAAAAGGGCAAAATTTTATATTTGCCGGAAATCGACGTAAATATAAAGGGCATATTTTTACAGACTGTCGGGGTTTTTCTTTAATAAAAATTTAAAAAATGTCCAAGAATAATTCACGTGTTTATATATTTATTTATTATGAAATAAATATTTAATTATTAATTATTGGTTTCAAAATATAATTTTTTTATTTATTTCCAATAGAATTCTTGTCAATTACCTTTCCAATTAAATTCAAATCTGAATCATTTTAGATTTGGAAATAAAACATTTATGGTAGTAGAAGTAGCTTTAAACAAGACTGTATTCTAATGTCAGGTATTTTAAGTTTACCTGATCTTCATATGAAGATCTTAAGCTTTGTTCAACTCTGTGAAAGGCCACCGACTGACCCCAAAAATTTATTAATATTGAAATATTATGCATAAAATGTAATTATACATACATAAAATTTTAAAGCGTGAAAATTATTATTTTTTATTTAATTGAATAAGCTAAAAAAGTTGAAATTTATTAATTATACATAACTAATATAAAGAATCAATTTGTTTAAATATTTCAAAATGATGTACATATTCCATAAAACATTCCAAATCCCCCTATTTGTGTTGATCACAGAGTCAGTAGGAATTAAAGGTCTAGGTAGAAAAAAATATAGGTAAAGATAGAGCCCCACTCTCAATTAGAGCTCCACTCCCTAATACAGCACAAATCTGGAGGACTGTTGAAGAATACAGCCCAATGGGCTGTATTTGAAAAATAAAGTATTTAATCGTTTCTAATTTGACTTTTTAAAAATATTTCAAAAATCGTTATTTTTTAATAATTTAATTATAGAAATTCATTTTTCAATAATTACTTTAGAAAATTTATGGAATTAATTTAATTTTAATATTAAATTTAAAAATATTATCAAAAAACAATAACATAAAAAATTTTTTATTAATGCTTAAAGTTCTCAGACAAAAAATTTTCAATCCTAAAAGCAATTCGCTGGTAATAGAATAAAGCAAGCGAATTACTCAAATTTTTTCAGAATTACATAAATTACATCATAATATTACATATAAGCATTATGTAATTTAAAAATCCTTTCGAAACATTTAAAAAAACATCTGCTATTAATGGCGACAAGGCTAAAAGTCTAAAACAATGAAATTGCACTTTATGGCTGATAAACTTAAGACTGTCATTTTTTAATTGTTATAAAAAATCTTCCTTCCTGCTCACTTGCACTTTTGGTTTCATAAAATGCCCTTCCCATAGGCATTTTTTATTTTAAAGCGATTATCCCCCTCTAATCTGTTTATCTCTCATCGGCGATAAGTCGGGAAACACAGACACTTTTGTATTTCTCAATCATTTATGAGACGCTTACTCTCATGATTAGGGATATTTATTAGAGGTCTGTCAGCAGCTATCAATCATTCGCAACATTCCTTTGATTACCAATAATCGAATCCAAAAAATAATTTAAAAGGATTTTAAGGTAAATACCTAATCCAAATGAGGTTGGAACTTCTCATTGGAATTTTTATTATAATATTTGTGTCAAATGGACATGCAGGTCGAGTCAGATTTGAAAGCAAAATCTCAACGCCTAATAAAGCTATTAGAGGTAATGGATATTTAAATCCGAAGACAAAGCAACAAATTCCCAAAAAATCTGCGATGAAAATGCGCAAATTCACCCAAAGCTTCAACCATGTTTCTACACCAAATGGTCATGAAATGGAGTATTCAATGCAACATGAAGTGTATAATCCCAAACCCCGCTCTAAACCAAAACCAAAGACAGCTCTTGTTCAAGAACCAGCCCCTTCACAACCTGCACCTGTGCCTCAACAACAAGAGACTGTTAAACCTCCACAATCAACACCGTGGGACAAAAATGAGTTGATTGAGCATGTTATTGCTGCTTACAAAAATTCATGCAAAAGTTCTGATATTGTCATTTTTTCACCAGAGGAGAAGCATAAATTAATCTCGTCAATTAAAAAAATGCCTCTTGTTGCTAACAACTTTACTTGGGTGATGAATGTTGAAATGTTTTGCACCTTGAATTTTTGGCGTGTACACTCTTGTTTCAATATGCCTTTGGAAGGTGGATTCAAAACGGCACTAGCTACTAATGGGATCGAATTCAATGATAACAGGTAGATTCGCAAAGCTAATTAATTAGCAACTTGTATAATTCATTTTAGCGGTGCGCATGGTTCCGTATGTGCATTAATTAGAAAATTTGAATCTGATGAGTTGAAAGAATCGAGAACTTTGGCGAAAGATGAATTAAAGGATAATTTAGCCCATATTTTGCTTGATGAATTTCACAAGTCACGTTCATTGCCTCATCCATCAGAACGTTATTATACAAAATATCTTTAATAATTTAATTACTAATTTATAGCTTTCCTCATAGCATTTCCTCTGAAAGGAGCAAATGTTGCATATTGGACGCTGGCAACGAAAATCGAACAGTTCAACACTCATTTGTCTAAACAAGCAAGTGATTTTTGTACGGCTTTTCACTCAGAACAACAACTATTCGACCACTTCGAGAAGTTTACAGCTGGTACAGAAAAAACAAAATTGGACGACGCTTTTCGTAATTTGACAAATGTGATGAATTCAATTCCTTTGGTAAAAGCCGCAGGAAAAGGTAATATAGATTTTAAGGAGTCTAAAGGAACATTGATCAGTTTATGATCCAAATGTTCCCGAATAACACTTATAAACAACAAATTTCTTCAAATAAGAAGGTCACTAAGTTCAACCAAACGGCAATTCTAATATGTTATAGATCTTGTCATTTTAATAAAAATTACCTTCCTAATTTTCCCAATTTAAGTGCCATTCTAATAGAAACTATTATTCTATTTTCAAATGTACAAAAAGATCGGGTAGTCATTCTATTAGAGAAGATTGAGTTCACCTTTTAGCTATTACATTTAATAATTTATAGAAGGAAGCGAAGAGAATTGCACCTATGATCTTTTCCTGTTCCGCGCCGAGCTAGAGTTTTTCCTGGCACTCGACAATGCAATTATAAATTGGCTAGCTCAATACGGTACACATGATCATGAATATTTCTGTCCTGAATGGCGAAGACATTGTTTATACGAAAAAATCCGTCAAAGGATTAGAGAAGTTAAGAAAATCACAGAGGGATTAATCAAGAATTTGCATGGGTGGTTCGATGGGCGGACACATGGTCGAATCAACGAGGACTTTGATCATTTCGTTAAAAATTATGTTGCCGAACGCTTCCGCATAAACATTCCTGCACCTCCGAAACCAGAACCCATGAGAGTTAAAGTAAAATACGAGCAAGGCGGTTATAAAAATAAAATGATTTATGAGCATGATGGGAGAAACAAGATGAGAATGATCACAAAAGTCGCTCATCCAAATCCTAAAATTGGAACAAAAAAGTTTACAAATGAAATGTACATGCCTAAAGCCGCTTTTGCAAATCCCAACAACTTTTCCTTCAATCATCAATATAAGCATGGAGTACAACAAGATATGTCAGAAGAAGGGGATGACAATGAGATGATGTATAAGCCTAAATCAGCTTATAAAAATCCAAACAAATTTTCCTTCAAACATGAATATAATAACGGTCCTCATAATGATATGTCAGAAGAATTGGGGGAAGGAGATGAACATGAAGGAAGTGAACAGAACAAAGGCGAACATGGAATGGACATGGATGCTAGTGATGGTATGTTGAATTTAAACTTGCTCGATCCTCAAGATTATTTCCATGTTTCGAGCATCTTATTGTTCTTTTCAATTTTAAATCTTTTAATTTTTTAGAAGGTGGAATGCACACAAATATGGAGATGAGCCATGAATTTGACCAACATCCGTATGGTGATATGCAAGATACTTCAATAGAGATGGGTCATGAGGAGATAATGGATAAAAACGGAAAGAAACGGAATGCTATTAACTATCGTTGCCGCGTCGGGGCGAATCAGATGAACTATCAATTTGGCTATGACCCTGCATGTGCTGCATAAAATATTCAATTTTTCGTGTAAAAAACAATTTACTAAGAAGTTGATTCTTCAAACATTTTCTATATTTAAAAATTTCTAGTATATTAACTAAATTTTTGTAATAATTATTTAATAGAAAACAAATTATCGAATAAATAGTAGTTAATGTTTAAAAAATGATGTTTATTGAGATTTTTGTGATAGTATTGGATTTATATTCGAACCATGTCCTCTCTCTCACTTAAACTGTTTACATAAAAATTAGTTTTATTTGAATTAAATTTTCCTGGCGTTAATTTCTGGAAATCAAAATTTCTGGAAAAAATTAAAAGTCCCTATAGTTTATTTTCCATCGACCTTTGAGTTAAATGAAAATTTAACCGTTAAATTTAATTTTTACTCGAATAAAATTTATTTTATACGAATTATTCTTATCGACCTATGAGGATTGCTTTCAATTAAAAATTATCAGCTTTAAAGCTCCATATTTCTTAAATTTCAAAATTGAGAATAATTTTTTTGAAAAGCTTTTTAATTATTTTTTATAGTCTAGACATATGTAAATCAGTAAGAAAATAAAGTTATAATTAATGCAGAATATCATATTAATTAAATATTATCAAGAATTATAATTAAATATTATCGCGAAAGAATTAAATATCAAAAACGAATATTTAATAAATGCCATTTTGTTTAAAATTTAATTTTTATAATTTTTGTTTACGAAATTCTAAAGAGAAAAATATTACACCTGGCAATTTATTTAAATTTTACTTTTCCCTCAAAGTTACTTTTTATTAAATTAATTTTGTCATTCTAGTTCCTTCTTGTCATTAACCTTTTATTATTAATAATAAATTAAATAATTTTTTCTATAAAATTTAATTAAAATTTAAACTATCCATTGTTCCGTTTCCAGGGTTTTTTTAATTTTTATTCTCCTCAATTTTCTGTTTATTCTAAAATAATTTATGTACTTTGCCATTTTTAAGGTTATTTCAGTGAAATTAAATTAAACTATGACTGACGTTAGAGAAGTAAATATTGCAAAAATAACTTTTGGAATAAATACTTTTGTTGATCAAATAGGAACTGTTTTATACGCTCTTCTAATTTTTGTTACAATTAAACAAAAGTATGGATAAATATAAATTATTTTCACTTAATAGAACGGCAGATTTATTTGGAGTTGGAGTTTCATAAATTTTTTAGAGATTGCTCCAAATCAAACTCATTCATTAATTAGGATCGATAGAATCTAATTCGTAGTGATTTTCAGAACCGAAACTTGATCTGATTAAATGATAAAATATTCTCCATTTTAATAGGGTGTTGGATACAGCCCAAGTAGGCGCGTAGCATAACTTGCTTCAAGATTTCCGAATCTTACCAAATTTGTATTAAACAATTCCTCTCATCGATCTAACGAGATTGGTACCAAAATTGATCAGAAATTTTCCAGCAAGTTATGGCTTTGCATCGTTATGGTAATTGGGCGTGTCTCTGTTCTGTGTTCTTCATTTAATAGAACGACTGCCATTCTATTAAAATATTTTCATAATTTTAAATCAAATTTAAAGGCGGCTACACGGGACTTGCCATTTATTATTAGGAATTTATGGATTCTGTTCTCTTTTATCAAAAATACAAATATTGCTTCCATTTATTTTATTTATCCTTCCTGGATATGGAAAAATTCCTCTTTTGTATTGTGCTATAATTCAAATATTTTTAATTGGTGGGAGTATGAATGTTTTCTCATTAATGCTAATAATTGGATTTGACAGAATGTTGGCTATTTTCCTACCTATTTGGTTAATTATTTTATTATATTTTTTAATCAAAGGGCATTTGAAAGAGTCCTTTGATTAAGAATAGTTGATTATATTTTTACCTAAAAATAAGACCAATCTCGGATCTACTTTTAGGGTTTTTTTACATTTTTATATTTTAGGTATTCAACCAGAAATGAAAAGCATTATTTAAAATTAATTTATTTGATATCATTTTCATTCCCTCTTGTATTTTTGGGATTTGTTATCAGATCAATTATACAAGATCCCTTCTTGTAAGTTTATTTTAGTTTAATAAAGTTAATTTACTGTAAAGTTCCGGCGACATTAAATTTTAGCCTCATTTAAAAATACAATTAAGCGGTAGCGTTATTCCGAGAAAAAATCGGTATCAAAGAGACCTATAAAATAGCGGGTAGGCACAATAATTCCCCACCCCTAAATACCCTAATGGACGTTCAATTGCCAAAACTCGATTAATTCCCTTCCATCGAATAATTCCCCTCCCTCGATTAATTCCCCATACCAAGGAACGGTTGAAAAAATAATTTCCCAGGGGAATTAATCGAGAAAACACAGTAACACTGTTTAAAGAACCTAATCTAAACGCGGCTTCTGTTCAATCAGGAATTTACTTAAAAATTTTATAAAAAATATTTAATTAAAAGGCAAGTTCAATGTTATTTCCCCGAATTGGTTGGTAATGATGGAAAGGATATTTTATTGGATGCACAGCTTATATTTATTTGTTTGACATTAATTTGTTATATTTTGATGTTTTTAAAATTATTATATGACCAAATTAAAGGACAGAGTAAAAATTAAAATAAATTTAACTAAATTTTATTTTTTATTTATCAGTTTGTTTATTACGTAAAGCCCTCTACAAAACACTCGCAATTATTATGGCCATCCAAATTTTTGGGTATTTCTTTTCTTGTATCTCTTACAAAATTGTAGGGCAAATAGTTTTAACTGAAATACAATCTCATATTATTCATGGATTTATAAATTGTTTATCCTCTCTAAGTTCAACAATTGAAGTTCCTGTTTTATTTGTTGTAAGGTAGAGAATGATTGAATTAAATTTAAATATTTAAAATTAATTATTTAAAGTACTGAACACAATTTGGCTTTAAAAGATGAATTTAAATGGTTATTTAAACTTTTCTCCAAAGAAACAAAAACTAATGTTGTTGCAATCAAAAATAATGAGGATATTGAAATTATTGAAAGAAATCAACAAAATAAATTTTTAAATATTACAAAAGAAAAAATTGAAAATTAATTTAAAAATATAGTTGTTTTCAGCATTTTTATAAATACTTTTTGGAAATTATTCAAACTTTTTTTTGTATAAATTACAATGGTTTAAGATATTTTTTAAAGTATTTGAAATAAATATTTGAGTTAAAGAAACCCCAAACCGATTTATTTTTCAATATTTATTGGCCCATATATAATAGTAGTTAATTACCGGGTTTGCGCACAAAGTGATACCGCCTAACTGCAATTAGTTTTGATTTCTGTTCGCGCACTAACCGCAACCTATTGACAGCTTTGCTGGGCGGAGGGGTCCTAATCCTATTGAACGAGTGGGTGAATGAAAATTAAAGTTTTAAAAAAATATTATTAAAATTTAGATTTAACCTTTTCCCCAATCATTATCAGAAGTAATTTTATTTTTAATTGAAAAACCTAATTATTTAAGGTGCACAAAAATTATTAGAAGCAGGAGGCCGAAAATAAAACGCACCCCGTTGCTGGGTAATTTTTTGTTATAAAATCTGAAATTTTAATTTGTTTAGTTCGTCATACTAAACCCAAAACTATAGAAGTAAAGAAACAGCAACATTCTTCTTCTTCCTCTTCTGCTGGTATTTCCAATTATATTTGTTTATATTTATAAGATTTATTAGCTATTGGTTTTGCCAAAAAATTCTTCTTCCTCCTCTTCTTCTGCTGGTATTCTCAATTATCTTATGCTATATTAATAGCAAAATTCTAAAATATTTTTAGTCAAACAATTTTTGCTGATCCTTCTACTGTGTCCTCAAAATCAAATGCTACTTCCGGTATTTTCAATTACATTAGTTTATATTTCTAAAATTTATTATTAGTTCTGACACAACCTTCTTCTTCTTCATCATCACCTTCTATTATTCCTTTTATGGATTAGGAAGTAAAATTGACCAACAGTGAGCTCAGAAGAAACAAATATCCTCCAAATAAGAGTTCGGTGCCTCGATTTTAAAATTTATTTTGAAAAAATTTAAAAAATAAACCTTTTCAGCAATAACAGGAATCCGAGCAGGATATTACGTTTAATCTCCTCGACCTCCGCACGGCGCTTCTCAAACTTATTTTCTTCCTTGTAAGTCCAGTTCATACTTTTAACCATAATTTTAAATAAAATTAACATAATTTTTCCAGAGTCTTTTCTGCATGCGACCGAAACTTTTCATTTCAATCATGTGCAGACGTTTCTAAATAATATAATATATATTTAATATTTTTTATGAAAAAGGATTAAGAAAATTTTAAAGATGAATTATAAAAATTAAATAGTACCGCGGTTGTGGGGTATGATGGATAATTTGCTGATGCTGCTTCTTTTGTTGGTGTCGACGGACTGGTGGTTGGCGGTTTTTCAGAACCGCAATGCCAAAAGAACCCACCTAAATTATATTTATAGATAATGAAATTTTAGAGCATTAATGAAATTTTTAGAGTGTAAAAATTACTTGAAAAAGCAGTGAGATCACAGTAATTAAAAGAATTACATATAGAATATATTCAGAAATTGGACAATTTTGCCGCATAAATTCATAAGGTTTGCCGATAAATGTCTCAAAATTTTCCGGAGAGATGGACTCCGGGTTGCATAAGGCCGGCTTCGAATACTGCGCCGGCCGAACGCATTTAAGGTTGGAAGCACACGAACAATTTGTGTTAACCCAAATCATTTTAAATCCTAAAAATTGGAAAAAATCATAGCAAACTTTAAAAAATGAAATAAAATTATAAAGGATGAATTACATTTTTATTAGTAATAATCACCAAAAAGTCATAATCATAACAAACATGTGTTTTCCTATAATATGTAGTATTCCAAAACTTTTGCCAATTTTCCCCTTATTTTCTATGTAAATCTTTTAATGAAAGAAAATATTAAGAAAGGAAAGCAATCGCGAGGGAAATAACCCAGAAGATTAGCACTGCGAACAGTTACGTAACTTAAATTTTTCACAATAGAAAACTATTTTACTTCTACTTAATTTTAATTATTCTATCGCAATTTCTATCGGAATACAGTAAATTTACTGGGAATACAGGAATGCAGTAACCTATTTAGGAGTGAATACAATAGATAAAATTAATTTTATATTTTCTAGGACCCGGTTCACCATCTCCAGAACAATTACCGTCCGGATTACAATTTATCTGAATAATTTTAAAATTAATAATTTTATACTGATCATAATTTTGATTGAAGATGAGGGGAGCTTAGATATTTCAAATGGGGTATTTTAACATTTCTAGTCAAAAAACACCTGATTTTTGAAACAAAATTTCTGTTCAAAATATTTGGATTTTGGTGTTTCTAACATTAGGAAAAACTTACAAAAATTTGAGGGAGCTATAGAAAGAGTTTAGCAAAAGTTTAGCTATCGGGTGACCTCCTGCGATAATATTGGGATAACTCAGTCCCGAATTAGATATTTTTAACAGCACTATATACATACATCCATAATTATGATAAAAACATTTAGAACCTGATACCTCCTTAATTTTTTGAGGGAATTTTTTAATTTTAAGGATTTCTAGAATTCTGATTCTTGAATTTTTTTATTTTTCATTACATTTTTATTTTTGGTTAAACATTACTTTTACTTCTCTCTCATTAGATATCTTTAATAAAATCTGACCGTGCCCATTCCAGGAGTTATCAAGGCGAACAGACAAAATAATATGAGAATAAACTTCATTTTTATTTGACAATAAATTAAGTTTTAAAGATTTTATTTCGGATTAAAATTATCAGTTACTACTACATAGAAATCTTTGTTTAAATATTTTCAAATTTCCATAAAACATCATTCGAAAATATCAAAAGTTTTGGTTATTATTTGACACAAATAAAATCTTAGTAAAATTTTTGTATGAAAAAAGAGTAAATTGTTTTGATTAACTTCCTACTTTTTTAAGACAAATATTCTATCGCTTATATGAAAACAATTTTATATTTTTTATTATTGTACAAAAACGAGTAATCATAAGAATTATTTTAAAAAATCCACGTAGTGTTATGATAAAATTAAATTAACTTATAATTGTCAAATGACAGAGCAACATTAAAATTTTGTTAATTTTTTTAGTTTCTAAACATGTTAAAGCAATAAAAACGAAAAATTTTATTTAAATTAGTTGAGATGGAGACACTGATAATCTTTCCTAACTAAGATAAGATTTAACGTAGGTATTTAGTAGTTGCGAGAAATTTGTCATAAGAATTATTTTAAATAATCCACTTATTATTTTTACAAGAAATTAAATTAGCTTGACTGATTATTATGTTTCTAAAGAAGTAGAAGCAAAACGAATTATAACTAAAATTCAATATATTTCTAAATTTGTGGCCAGAAAGGTAAGAGATACTGCCTTGGGATCATGCACGATCCCCCCGTTGTATTATATTTCCATCGCTAGTTATCTAAATTAAATACTAACATTTTTTAATATTTAATAGATTTTTAAATTTTAATAATTTAAAAATTTTTATTTTTTGACTAATGCTTAATTCTCAAATCTTAATAAAAAATATTGTGGTGGCAGTGGAAAAATTATTTCTTTTAGTTTATTTATTATTATTTATAATTATTTTTTTATTATTATTTGTTTAGCTTTTTTTCATTTTTTAAATCAATTATACATATATTTTCATTCTCATCTTTATTAATTTAATTATTTTTTTCTACAAATTTTATTAACTTTGCTATAATAGTTACATATATTATTATTATATTATCCAAAATATGAATATTAATTTATATTTAATTAATAATTTTAAAATGTAAGCAATTTAAATTACACATAAAATTAATTATCGTTCATAATAAGTTCGTTTTTTAAATATTTTTCTTATTTTTATACTCCTTTACAGAAGCGTTTTTGATAATCTTTATGGCGCCAACCAGGAATTTGGCAGCACACATTAACAAAAGTGTATAACCAATGGCAACATCCCTTGTAGGTACAGCTGTAACATATTCCACAAAGAGTGTTTCTGTCTGGCTTTCCACTTCCCGTACAATGACCGTCCCATTTGCATCTGATCTGAATTATTTTAATATTATTTGTTCAAAAACAAAAGTTATCTTTACATTATACAGAATGCCTTTTACTGACATGTGAACACCGAGCTGGACATTTACCGAGCTAAAAACGACATAAATCCCGAAAATTTATTAAATTTGATAAATTTTGTAGTTTGGCGATCTTCATCGTTTTGTGAGGAACATGGGGTTTAAATGGTCGAATGTGGTTGGATAATCAAAATTGGATAATCAAAAAAATTTTTAAATTTTTAACGCCACTAATATTCAGATTTTTTTTCGTATGCATATTTATAATAAATTAAATCTGACCAAACCCATTCCAAATTCTATGAACGCGAACAGAAATAAAAATACGAGAATTAGCTTCATTTTTATTTAATAAATAAATTAATTTTGGCTGGAAGTTTTTTCTGATCAAGACTGATTTGTTATTGCTTAACAGTTTATTATTTAAATACATACAAAATTTCACATGAAATACCACTAAAAATTGTTAATCAAATGATTTGTCTATTAAAAGCCATTCCTCAAATAAATAACAAATAAATTTTTGTTTTTAATTTAAATAATTGCTACACAAAACTTATAATTGTTTATAAAAACAATCAAATTTTCTTAAATTTTTAAAGTTATTTTTAAATAATATTTATTTACAAAAATCATAAGATCAACACCTCGAATTCGTAAAATTATTTTTAAAAATCCACGTATACATATTTAGTTTGTTGGGAATAAATAAAAATAAATGAAAATTCGCAATAACAATTTAAAGAATTTTTTTATCTTTACAATAATTATACAAATAAATGTATAATTAAAATTTTTATTTTAAAATAATTTTAGTATTTTAATTTAAATATTAAATCTTTTTTAATAAATCTTTCGTTGCATAGACTTAATTAATTTTGTATTTGTACTAAATAGGGCTATCCTCTAAGCCCGTGCCGTAATAAAAAATAATTTTTTCATAATTAAAAATATCCAATTGATCCATCCGAGGCTTCCATTCTCGTCAATTCTTTGAGGTGAATTAACTAACTTCACTATAGGTCAGGCGAAGAAGTCGGAAATGTACTATTCTTGCTTTAATTATAGGAGAGGAAGGTTTCTTAAGGTATAATAAGTTCATTATAAAAGTTGCAGCGTTTTACTAATTTAGTATAACTTTATTTAGTGCTTAATGGTAATTAAATAAAGTTGGGGCTTTAAAATAAATTTAGCTAAGAGAATTATTAAATTATTAAAACTGGCAGTAAACATGGAATTATAAAAAAAATAAAAACTCAATGCAAAGTTCAAGCGAAAATTAATAATATTTTCATTTATTAAAGTCATATAAAATATTTATATTAATAGTTTATTTTGCCTATTTATTTTGCCTTTTTATTAATTTTTGTCTATTACAATTGAAGTTTCATAATAATAAGTATTTTTTTATTTTTATAAATTGATTATTTATAAAACCCTGAAATATGGCCCAACTCAGAAGAAAAATATATTTTTTTGTATTTATATTTATTTACACCTGCTACATCAATATTTATGAATTAATTACAAAAATAGAATATTTTTTGTATTTCCTCTTACATACATATAAAATTTTTCTTAAATTTTCTTCAATTATTCTGATTATTTAACCAGTAAGTCCCCCCGCAAGTCCCACAAGTGGATTACTATTAGCTCCTTGAGGACAATGAGTTGATTCTTTGCCGAGTGCTGCGCACCATGTGGCTTCAACTGGAGCTCCAGCAAGGCCTAATTAAAATTTTTAAAATATTTTTATATAAAAATTCTCTACCTATAATTCCACAATCTACCAAGGAATGCAAGCAAATCAAGGAAATTAGTAAAAGAAAAACGATGAAATTAACGGAAGACATAATTATTATATCAAATATTTTTCCTTAATTTATTTAAACATATCATTTTTGAATATCCCTATATGCAATTTACTCGTCTAGTTCCGGTTATATGGAGTTTCCTGATTAAGATATCCTAACAGAAACATTTTTTATTTTTATGTACAATTACATATCTACCAGAGATCCTACAGAAAAAATAAATCCGTGATTTGTGAATCAAATCGGAAATCAAGATTTTCTTGTATCGAGCAGGATTTATGATATAGTGATACACTTTTTCAAATTTTGCTTAAATTTATAATGTTTTCCTACATATTAATTTTAACCAAAAAATAAAGAAGTTCGTCATAGGGATTTATGTAGTATTTTAAATTATAGGTTATTTCATAATAAATTTTCATAATACATAATTAAGAAAATGGAACAAATAAATCTCTATAAGAATCATTCTCTACATACATATACATAAGCATCGAAATTATCCTATTAAAAATTTTATTTTTAATAAAAAAATGAATTATTTTATTATTTAATTACCCCTTAAATAATTAACTTTTTTAAATTAATTTGAGAAAGGACATCTAAAAAATTTAGATTCTTAAAAAACCTCTCACAAAGGGCATAATTTTTACTAAAAAAATTTTCGACAATAATTCAAATAAAAAAAATTCCGTCTTAAATAACCAGTTAAATTTATTTTTTTAATTAATTTTCAGCTATTTTTTTAAAGTTTGTTTTCTACAATCAATCATTTATTTATGAAATTTTATTAAATTAATTTTACTTTAATTTTGTTATAAACATAAAAAAATTTTATTTTTCGTAATAAAAATAAAATTAAAAAAACTAAAGTGCATCTATTAAGTAAAAAATTAAATCGGATAATATTTTCATTTTAGCTTAAAGCAGAGAATGAAAAAGAATTAAGATTTGTGTCGAACCTGTTGATTTCGAACTTTTTTTAAACCTTCAATTTTTGATCTGAGATTTTTGAGAAGTTCATATTCCCGAATCTTCAGATTTCTAGCATTCCAAATGTTCCAATCAGGGATGACAGAAATAAATTTTTGGCTGTATATGAAAGGAATGCGGCACTCAATTTTTTCCCCTTATTCTTAAAAATGGTTAATTTTCTTTTATTTTTCTCTCTATTTTTGATTTTTGCCTACGACTACAAATGCAAAAGGATTAATTTTCTTTTATTTTTTTATTTCGTTCGTTTGACTGACCGATGTGTGTCCGTGTTTTAACTGACCGAGTTCGTCCGTGTTTGTCTGTCCGGGTTCGTCCGAGTTTTGTCAATTTGACACATAGGTCAGTTAAACACGGACGAACCCGGACAGACAAACACGGACGAACTCGGTCAGTTAAAACACGGACACACATCGGTCAGTCAAACGAACGAAATAAAAAAATAAAAGAAAATTAATCCTTTTGCATTTGTAGTCGTAGGCAAAAATCAAAAATAGAGAGAAAAATAAAAGAAAATTAACCATTTTTAAGAATAAGGGGAAAAAATTGAGTGCCGCATTCCTTTCATATACAGCCAAATTTTTTATTTCGAATCGAAAGGAAATAAAAAAAATTTAGCTAGTCTCGGAGCGAATCGAAAAAATGCTTCCCAAGATCAAGACACTCGAGACTAACACACCTACCTACATAACTATAGAAAATTGATAGAAAAATATTCTAATAAATTTTATTATTGGAACTGCGGTATTTAAATTTACTAGGCAAAAAAAATTTTGAAAAAAAAAATTTATAAGATTTTAACATAATTTATTACAATCATAATCAAGCTGATTATCGCTATTGGGAGCAATTTGTTCGTAATATCGAGCTATCACTTCTAATTGATATTCTTTTAAATTCTCAATAAATTTTTCTAAATTCTCTGGATTCTGTACACAAATAAGGGAGGCATCCATTCCCATTAGAAGGCATTTATTGAATCTACAGCCTTGACAACGATCTCCTAAAAAATATTTTTAAATAAAAATTTTCCAAACATTATTAATTTTAAACAGTCGGAATACACGATATTTCTGCAAAATTTTATTTACTTGTACGAAGGTTTCTAAACCTTCTTAGGGGTTAAATAACCCTTACTCCGAATTTATTCTACGGGCTCTGGATATGTCAGAAGGGGTGTAGGCTACTCACATCAGTTGAATTTAATCTGTGTCATTTACCCTATATTTCCAAACTCTATCAGTCTAACTTTGAACGGCCATAACTCAGCCCAAAGTCATTTTGCAAGAAAACCCGCATCACTTCATAATAGAAGTCGATGGTACTCTATCGAATAGTAAGCCTACCCTGCAGGTAAGCCCCCATTAGATTAGCTTACCCTACATAACCCCTATAACCTTTATTTATTTGTTTAATAAAATATACTAAAAATATTTATTAGACTATTAATTTAGTAATTACCTTGTGTAATATCGCATCTGTAATCTATTATGCAGGTAGGAATTTTTTGTTTAATGATGATTCGTCGAAAAAATTGTTTGCATCCTAAATATATGATGATTAAACTTTAGTATACTGTAAATAAAAATCCACAGAAAATAGGAACCATTCCTTTTGGACTATTAGTTGAGCCCGTGTAAATATCCATGATCCCCGAGACATTATAAATTAGCATATCACTCAGATTTTATTTTTTTAAAAACTTGCCTTCGCAACATAGAACACCATAATAATGATATGAACATACTTGGGAACAAATTGAACAATTAAATGGGGGAGTAAGTAATTTCTTTGTCCAAACTAATTTTCCTTCTTTTTCATGGCATTTTATTTCATATTTTAAATTTTCAATTAATCGTTTATTTCCACAAATTTTTTTACTATATTTGGAGAGAGGATCCATTTAAATTTAAAAAAATCTGTCAATAATTAATTTTAAAATTGGGCTGACAAATGGAGATATAAATAATGGGGGTATTTAAAACAGAAAATTGGAACGAAATAGAAAGGTGAAAGGTTCAGTAGGTTGATTGGGAATGCAAATAGAATGGTTCAGTAGTTAGATTATCTACATAATTAATTCGAAATGTGGTGGACATAATAATATAATGTAAATAATGTAAATATATACGTCCATCTATTTTCGACATTAGGGGTGGTCTGAAAAATCTACAAAAATTCCAGTGAGCATATCTATTGATATCAATATGAAATACAGAAGGAAATAAATTATAATAGTATATCTCCTTGAGATCTGAAAACCCAAAAATCAACGGAAAACTGGAGGTAAACGTCTTTAAAAAATAAATTCGACCCCTTGTAGACTAAATTAAATTTTCTAAATGCTTTATAAAAATGAAATATGTACTATAATGAATAAATTGATAAATAAATTTGAGTATTTATTTACAAAAATTTAAAAACAAAGAAGTTCAAATAGTCAAAGAAAATATAGGTTGATAGAATATCGAAGTAAATGGAAGGGTCGTTTTCTATCAGATTCGTGACTGGTAAAATTAATTTATCTATTTTATGTTTAATTTAATTATAATAGAGAGCTATCCTTTCGAAGCAATGTATTAATTAAATTTTAAAAAATTGATTTAAGCATTTGAGTAAATAAAAAAGCTTTAAATAAATGTTACGTTTTGGAGAGAAATATTAAATAGAATAATAAAAAACTAAAACTAAAAGCCAAAAAAAGAGTTTGTATATTTTTGTATATTGAATTTCGTAAATACCAGATGGTGGTAATTTTAATTAAATTATCTTATTTCAGGTTTTTATAATACAAGGAATTCTGAATTATTTATTGAAAATGCCTGCCGTATATGCTTAAATAATGGTAATTTTAATTAACCAGATGGTAATCCGCCGTAAAATAATACCCTCTTTCAAATAATTACCCCCACCCTTAGCAAGAGGTTTAGAACATAATTACCCAGGGTAATTATTTGAACATCTAATTACCATCTTTAAACAATTCCGCTGATAAAGTTGATAAAAATTGTTTTAAACAACACAAAATTGTGAAAAATAAATTATTAAACTGTCACTCCTACGCGAAAACATCAAAATAACCAATTAGAATTTAGTTTGTATTTACATATCTCTTTTTTTTATTTTAGCTTTAATTAATTTTTTATTTTATTACTACTACACTTTTTCGAAATGCTTGTCCTCTAATAAAGACACAAAATAGTTAAAATTATTTTACCTATCAAAAATTAGATAGAAAATGAACTTTACATTAATTTTTAATATTTTATCAATTTTATTATTTCTTTGAGTATTTGAATTTAAATGTTTTTAAATTTTTGTTTGCCGTCAATAAATTCAGGATTTTTTACTATTAAGGATGAAGTAATCTCTTTTTTTATTGTTATTATCCAGATAACTATAAAATTTTCTAAAAAACTAAAAATTAAAAACGATTTGAAACTAAAAAGTATGTCCTATAAAAAAATATATAGCTTATCGAGGGCTTTTGAAAGACAAAATTCATTTGTTTTGTATCAAGTATCTAAAAGTTATAGCCGATCAAAATCGGCTGGCACTCAGTTTGCGGTCGTATAACGAAAAAGTACTGATTTTTTAATATTATATTTTATAAATAATATATTTATTTATTTAATATAGTACATAGTACTTAACATAACTAAAAACACAAACATAATTATTCTAAAAATATACATGTCCAAAATTTAAAAGAACTTGAAAATAGTCATTATCTAATTATCTCGCTATTTAAAACTAAAATGTTTAGTTTATAGTTTAAAAATAGATTTTAATTTTTTAGTTTTTTAGAAATTTTTTAAATTTTTTAGCTATCTGAATAAAAACAATAAAAAAAGAGATTACTTTATCCTTAATAAAAAATCCTGAATTTATCGACGGCAAACAAAAATTTAAAATCATTTAAGTTCAACTAGTCAAAAAAATAATAAAATTGATGGAATATTGAAATAAATGGAAGGGTCGTTTTCTATCTCATTCGTGACTTGTAAAATTAATTTATCTATTTTATGTTTAAGTTTATAATAATAGAACGAATTTTTGATAGGTAAAATAATTTTAACTATTTTGTGTCTTTAATAGAGAACAAGCATTTCGAAAAAATGTATGTACTATTAATAAAATAAAAAATTAATTAAAGCTAAAAAAAGAGATAAATACAAAGTAAATTCAACTGGGATATTTTAATAATTTCACATAAAGTTGTCATTCTTACAATTTTTGTTTGACAATTTTGTGTTATTTAACAATCTTCGTATCAGAAAAATTGTTTAAGAAGGGTAATTATTGCTTTATTAATTATTGTCGTTGAGGGTGTAATTAATCGAGAGGGGTAATTATTCGAGCATAAACGGCAAGATTTTCAATAAATAATTCAGAATCCGTATATTACAAAATAATTTAAAGATTAATTTAATTAAAATAACCACCATCTAGTAATTGCGATAATACGTAAATATACAAAAGTTTTTTTTTGGATTTTAGTTTTAGTTTTTTATGATTTTTTATTTAAAGCTTTTTTATTTACTTAGATGCTTAAATCAATTTTTTAAATTTAATTAATACATTTTCTCGAAAGGATGGCTCTCTAATATAATAAGCTTAAAAATAAAATAGATAAATCTATCACTTAAAAATTCATAAGTTAAATAACTTGAGACGTGTGGTCACTTTATTCCATAATTAATTATTAATCTAAATTTTATTAGGAAACCATTTTATAATATCTACAATTTTTACAATAAAAACTTTTAATTAAAAAATTTCATATTTATTAAATATATTATGTTTTTTCTCCTTCATCATTTCGCATTTTTCATTGTTTAAGTTCACGAAGAATTTTCTCAGTACTGTCCATGACTGAAATTAAAATATATTTTATGCTTAGTTTCTTTAAAATTTAATTTACGAGCGAATTATATTTAAAATTTTAATGAAAACATATACATATTATTGTCGATCTTAAAAACCTGAGATATCCCCTTAAAAATCAAAAAGGATTTTTTGGCATAGAGACTCAGCATAGTGACTGATTTTGGCAGGTCAGTAACCTTATTATCCATCCGTGAAACTCTTGAATTATATCCATCTAGACTACATAGAATCTCTTTTACTTGTTCCGAGACTAAATTAATGAATAAAGAATTAACCAGAATATCCTCCTATTATACTATTTTAATTCAATCTCAAAGTATTACCCCTCAATTTTTTAAATAATATTTTAATAATAATAAAATATTCAAACAAACATTTCTCCAAAATTTCAAGCTTCTCAATAATCTCCCATTTAATTTTCCTTCCTTCCTTAGTTTCCTCATCCCCAAAAACATCATAATCATTGGGGAAAAGCTTCACAAGAAAATTATTATAACAATCATTTAATTCAATTTTCTCTTTGTAAATTGTTCCAATTAAACTTTGTTCCGTTTCTTTAATTTTTAAAATTTCCAAAATTTCTTTCATCAATTTTTCTTCATTTGTTCCTTCAAAAATTATTTTATTTAATTTTTCTTTAATTTCTTCTTTTGTTAATTTATTCCCAGCCATTTGGAATTTAATTAATCTTTCCTCTTCTTTATTTAAAGCCATTGCCTTTTCAAAAAATTCTGAATGGTTTTTAACAATATTTTCTAATTCCGTCAATTTAATGACTGTTTTACTCCCATTTTCGAGTAGCTGCTCAGCAAAAGTTGGAAATTTTTCTAAATTTGATGAAGTTGTTAAATCATTCGAAATCATTTTAGAAATTTCATTAATAAATGTCGAATATTTCCCCATTTTTGTTTTCTGGGTTTTGTTAATTATTGCTTCGAACAATGAATTTTTAATTTCTTGAGAGGTTAATTCTTCTTCCTCTTCTTTTTCTTCCTCAGAGGGAAAAATCTTTTTGTCTTCACTTTTAGTATGTCCTTTAACTTCTTTTTCAATCACAATTGAATTATCATTTTTCGAAGCAATTAATGCAGAAGTGCTGTGGTGTTGAGAAGAACAATGGAGGGGCCCAGTCTTTGAGTGCTTTGAAAGATTGCAATGTTGCATTGCAATTCTGGTTGGAACAATTTTAGTGTTGAGAGGATGATTTGGCAAATGAGCTAAATTAAAAATAAAGTTTAAAATTTGGTTATTTAATTATAATGTACTCTCCTTTGTTATTTTTTAATTAAACAATAATGGGAATCATCTCTTATCAGGAACAAAAATGATTGGAAACTTTTTTTCTTTTATCCGGTAGTTGCTATGAATTTAAACCTCCCCAGCAAATCCTCATGGAAATTTGTAATAATAATTTTTCCCTTCATTTCTTCACCCGTTAAGAAGGTCTTTTCCCATTGTCCCCGTCAAAAATAATCCCAAATTCTAGCGAGATTGGGATAATTTACATAGGTCATTTGATGAAGCTTAGTAATTCCAATAATTATTTTTTAATTGTTGGCAAACAAACCTTGTAGCGGTGCATTATTCGGAGTAGTAATAACTCCACCAATTAATTCTTGCAAGGCAAAAATAATGAAGATAATGAAGCTAAATATACAAAGAAAACGGATGCTTTTTGACATTTTCAATGAATTAATTTTTACTTTTTAGGAAGATTTCAGTGAAATTTATGAGAAGCTTTTGAAGGATTGAGGGGAATGCCTAAAGACTTTTTCGATGAAAGGAGAGAGGATTTTACTTTAATGTTATTTCATCGAAATTTAGGGGCTATTTATTTGTTAAATTTGCCACACTGGATGGACTTTAGAGAGTGAAAAGCATGTTAAATGCCGGTGTTTTTATTTCAAAATGAATTTTTCCTTCTTATAAATTTTCATTTCTTTGCCCTTTTCATGTGAATTATTAATGGAAATAATGAAATTTTTAGGGATGCCCCTAAAAGGGCATTATTACATTTAAAAGAATTAATTGCGCAAAGGATTTTAATTTTGAAAAGGGCAAACAGGAAATATTTATTTTAAAAGATAAAAATAATTAAACTTTCATCATATAATGAAAATAAAAATTTTAAATTTATTATTATTAATAAATTTAGGATTTCTGTAAATTTTTGTTTATTGTCTTGACACTGTAAAATCCCATATCCAATTTCCGAATTTCTGCTGACTAATTTATCCGTCTTCCCAAAATTAACTTTATCCTCTATTAATATTTCTATTAACTGTAAGGGTTAAGTATCTTGTCGACTTTCTGATTACCTAATTAATTTTTGTGTTTGAATTTTTTCTAAAAAAATTTCCAGTTCAATCAGACCATTTATTTGTCGGAAAAGGTTGAGTTCCGGTTCCATATTAACCCGTGGCAGCCCTGATATTTACTGGTCTACCAGATAAATTCTCAACAATTATATTCAATTATTTACTAAAATTTTTTAACTTGAAAATAATAATATAAAAATAAAAAAATTAATTCAAACTTTAAGTTAATTTAATACTGTTAATAAAATAAAATCATTTTTTATATTTAATAATTATAAATGAATTTTTATTTAAATTTTTATACTTAATTTTAATTTTATTCTTCATTCATTTTTTAAACAAGCGGATATGAAGCTTTAGAAGCAATACCGCATTGATTGTCTTTGTTTCGAGACATTCGAATATACCCTTAAAATAAAATTAAAATTTGATTATTTTAAATTAAATCACCATTTTCTCCCCAATGTTCCCCCCAACTATTTTTAACAAGCCAATAATCTCCGTGGATGTCATCTGTGCCATATCCAACAACTAAGACACCTGGAAATTTTTTATAAAAAATATTAACTTTATTTTAATTAATAAATTTAACCATGATCGAGATTATCGGGACTGCACGCCTCCTCATCATAAACCCCGTGAGTATAAAGTTGAAAACTGCGATGGCCGGCATCTGATAATTTTATTATAAATTAAATTTTTTTAATTTATATTTTAATATTATTTACCAATTGCTACAGAAATTGGGCCCTGTGTGGCAACAGCAATCTGAAAAGTTGAAGTAATAAAATGTTTAATAAATTGGATTTTGGTTTCTAGAGGGACCCTTAATAACTCTAATATTTACTGTCTGATCATGTATGATTATTAGTATCTAATAAAAGCCCATATTTATTAATAAGCTTGTTTCTATATTGAAAATTAAATGCACTGGCCTTTTTTAGAGTATTTACATTGAGTCAAATGATATTAATTTTAAATTTAACACAAAAAACCTTTAATTTATCTTCATCTCCAGAAGGTAAATCAACATATCCAGTGTCTGTAGCACCAACATTGCTTCGTTTAAAAAGACACTTTTTGCCGTTCTACAATTATTTATTTATTTATTTTAATTTCTTAATTTTAAAACGGAATATTAATACAGTCTTATCTAAATATAATATGATAGCCCCTTTGTAATACTAAACAATTCAACTTTTTATTTATACTTTTTGTTATTTTATCAAATAATTATTTAGAGGCATCTTTTATGTGTCCCCCCCCCCAGTTTCCAATTTAATCAAAAAGAATTTTCTTAAAGTTTTGGGATTTTTGGTATACTTTATTTGTAATACTTTAAGCAATATGTATGTGAAAAAAGGATATCTATACCTTAGCTTTATATGGATAGCTTGTCTCGGTATCAACGCCCTTGTTGTCTTCAATATATCTTTAAATTGTTAATTTTTTACATGAAAGATAATTTTTTGCAGAAAAATTTCAAAAATAAAATTAGTTTAATTTACTGGAAAGCATTATCCATTAATCCTCCATTACATCCCATATTTCCATAAGGCTCTCCTTTGGTGCAGTCAATTAAATTTTGTTCAGAAAGGGAGCTTTATTATGATAATAATAAAAATATTTCAGAATTTTTAATAAAAAACATACACGAGTGTTCCCAATTTACGAGAATGCTGTCCTTCCAAAGCGCCGGTTGCGCTAAAAGCCTAACATGAACCGCACATTCCCTAAATTTTGGATTATTGAAAATCTGTATTTTCAATGCTAGTTGCTTTTTAAGCAAATAATTTTAAGTACTTTTAATTAAATTTGAAAATAAATGTCCGTGGCTTTAATCAGAGCACTTACAGAATTAAATAATTCACCTGATTTTTAACACTAGTCACCAATCCCTTATCACGCCAATCCACAGATTCTGGTACTGCATACATATTAAGTGGGGGCAAGAATGTCGAAGAAGCATTCTTTCGTGTAACAGCATCACCAAGAGGGCGTTTGAATCCATTAAGCTTGCGGTATTGGTTGAAAGGCTTTTAATTAAATGAATTATAGTTAACTATTGAATTTTATCAAAATGTGCTCCATTGACTCCATTAGGAGGATGAAAGTTACGTTAATTCAAGGTGAGTGAAGAAATTGAAAGTGAAATTTTAAAAGCTTAAGTTTTAGGTGGAAAGCAATGAAAATAGTTTACTTTTCAATATAATCTTCTTAAGTCTTCCTTCCCTCCGAGTAATAAAAGCCCATTTCTAATGAGGGTACATTCTCTAATAGTAACAAGTGATGTGAAATTTCAGATTTACTCGTACTTGGTACTTTTTGCCAAGTATACGAGTACGAATTTTGTTACTAGCGTTGAAGCACTGATAGTAACCCACTCAAACCTATTGGATAATAAAAGCACTGGAATTATTAGAGAATTTAAATTAGGTCAAATAGTGTTTCGAGATATCTTTCTCGTATGACGATTTATGGTATCTTATCTTCATTTCTTGTCGCTATTACAGACTTCAGTAGAGTGGTTAGTTTAAATTAGTTAAATTTCTTAAAAATAAAAGTATTTTACCAAATCAGCCATGTGATTCTCTCCAACCTGAAAACTAACTCTTCCTTCGGTATAGTCTAGTTGATGCTTTTCAATAAATTGTTTTGCACTAAATTTTAAAAAAATATTTCGAAAATTTTTTTTTATTTTTTGTTCTTTAACCTTAAATATGCAAGCATACGTTCATTATCCTCATCTTGGTTTGGATATGATTTTCCTTAATTAATCTATTTTACGATAAATTTTACTCACGAATTCAATAAAAATTACAAAATATTTTCATAACTTTAACTAAAAATCAAAGCTATTAACCATGCTTTTCCTTGTAAGTCTGCCAATCAGCAAATCCTCGTTCAATTAATTGTCTAAGCTCATACTCATTTTCACTTTCTCTCATTTGCTCATTTCGAATTTCTTCGAGATCATTGGATTCGGATGATGAAGAGAACGAGCTGTGAAGGGAGCGGATTGATCTCCATCTAAAATTTATAAAAAAATTTTGTTAATTGCCTAAGTTTTTCAATAGTTAGAGCCGATCGGAGGTTAGTTGGTACTTGATCTCATACTACCTTTGCTTCTTTTATTAATAGATTTGTCTTTTATCTTTAGAGTTGTCTGTTTCAGGAAACTTCCGTTTAGCTAAAGGAAAACGAAGTTCAGGAAACTTCGTTTTAGACTAGATTATTTAACAATATTTGTTTCTATTCTTAAATATATTTTAATTGGAAACTCCGTTCGCTCTCACTAAGAATTTCAGTCCCTAGTCTTCCAATAAAAATTAATGAATTTAATTCACTTAGAATTTAAAATAGTGCTTCATGTTTAAACACTATAATAAATTTTTAGAGAAAATACGTTAAATTAAAAATTAAATTTACTTCATTCCATAACTTGACAAGCAAAGTGTACACAAAAATAATATAATAAATAATTTTATCATTGTTAAAAATCTAAAGGTAAAATTCAGAAGAAAATAAATAAACGTAATTGCAAAACTAGACTTCAAAATAGTACACTGATCTACAATGAGCTAAGAACCCGGTAATTGCATTAGGTCAAATTCTGTCCTAAACCCCCAACAAATGCCCCAAACATTTCGATCAGAGCTGACTAAAATAGTGATGGCAGGATTTTATAGCAAACAAAATAGATAAGCCCCCCGGACAGGAACCTGCGACCTCCTCGTAGTTAGGCGCTTTCGATTAGCACATAAATGAGCTTTACCATTAGCTACCGGGGGACAATTGATGCTTTCTCTTTTATCCTTTTAGATCGTTAACCCCAGCCTAAGCGTTTTAAATGCTGCTAGGTGAATCATCTTTACAAAAAAATCAGATAACAAATCGTTAAGCAAACCTTAAAGTTGTTAGAAAAAACAACTTTTTTAATTATAAATTTACTTATTAGTTTTTGAATATAGTATTTTTGAAGTAATATTAACAAGGGTCAAAATTTATAAAATTAATAACCAAAATTTTATATTTATCATTCCTTAATAAAAGTAATAAAATAAAAATGTAAGGCACCCAAAATTGTCATTTTAAATTGAGTGAATATTTTTAGTTTTTAGATAAAAAAATGTTATCTTAAATGGTCATATGTCTATAGTAATCTTTTTTTAATTAATTGCAATAAATTACTAATAACATGACTAAGCAAAAAATTTTTGAATTTATAATGGGAAAATAAATATATTTTACTAAAGAAAACTAATAGCGAATTAGACACTTAAGGGTCAAAGATCAATGTCTTCTTCGAGCGTATCTTGCGATTTTGGGTACATATTTTGACCAGATATTTGACCCGACCACCGGGCAGGATTGAACCTACGACATCCTGCTAGGTGAATCATCCTTATAAAAATTAAAATAATCGTTCGATTCTTAGAACCGAGACATCACTGGTTTTCTTTATAAATTTAATCATCTCATCAAACTTGAAACTTCTTTTAATTGCTCTTAAAAATTATTTTATTAAAATTATTTTAAAGCTTGTAATTATTGCTTTATTTAGGGCTCCAATTCGTACTTAATTAGAATTACTTACAAAATTGAAAATGTACTTTTTGTACGTACACTCTGTCAGAAAACTATAAACGCAGTTCAAAATTTTGTCCTAAACCCTATTTTCCACTAAATATATATACTTCGAGATATTTTGTTTTACACAGATTCTCCTTTTATTTCAAAATAAAAATTATTTTCTAACCTATTTTGGCATGCAAATGCCGCCACCATTACAAGTGTAATGTTTAGGACAATAATATTGCTGAGGATTGCAAGGAATCATATCAGATTTATCTTAAATTATATTAAGTTTTAAAATTTCGAAAGCCTAAATTAAGTAAAAATATTATTGCACAATAAATATGGAATTATAAATTGGTATTCTAATAGAAATTGGTTACTTATCTGTTATACTCCCACAAACTTAGTGCAAGCAGAATTTTATCGTCATAATTTTTTGTTCAAATAAAAATATATTTTATATCATTCTGAACCCTTAATAAACTGTATCTTTTTCTAACTTGATGGATCAGGTCTGATCACTCGTTAAAATGTTATAACCCGATAAATGTGAGAAAGACCAAATAACAATCGAAATATTAAGCCCTCGCCATCTCATAAATAACGGAACTTTTTATTTCTTAACCAACTAGTAGTTATACATATAACATAACTGACCTTTACATTCATTATGGCATAGATATCCCACTGGACATTTATGATCATTGAAGCCACAGACTAAATTATTTTCTTTACCTTAATTGAATAGAATCTTTAATTAAAATTATTAAATTTAAGTTTCTGATTTTAATTATAATAATTTTTTGCATTGAGATAATTTTATTTATTTAAATTTAAAAAATATTTTCGAAAATATTCTACAAAAATCAAGGTGAATTCAATATTTTATTTAAGATATTTATGATAATATCAAATACAATTAATGAACAATGAATTTTTAAAACAAAAATTAACCTTTATCACAAAATTTAGCGCATACTTGATTGTTATTACATTTTTTACCATTGCAATCAGTGTTGGCTTAATTAGGTATATAAACTGTAAATCCACTAATAAAACACATTCTTTAATCCAAACTCTTCGAGAGGGTTGAAAAATAGAAACAAATGTGGTTTTATTAGAGGATTTAGGTATATTTATATTTTATATATTTTTGATTAAATTAATGAAATAAATATATTTTAATACATATATTTATTTGTATGTATTATTCAGAAATTTTAGCTTAATGATCCTCCAAATCATTAAGCTTTTTAGCTTAATGATCCTCCAAAATTCTGAAAATTTTCGCCTGCGGCGCTGAAAAAGGGAAGATTTTTAGCTTAATGACCTCCAAAATTTTGAAAATTTTCGCCTGCGGCGCTGAAAAAGGGACTTTTTTCGACCCGAAACCCGATCCGAAGAAAATTTTGAAAACCCGATCCGAAACCCGACCCGACTTTTTGCTCAACCCGAAACCCGAAACCCGATCCGAGAAAAATTTTGGAAACCCGACCCGAAACCCGACCCGACATTTTTCTCAACCCGTGACATCCCTGGTACTCATGTACTCATTTCCGAACATAATAATGTCTTTGTTCACCAACTTAACAAAGATTTTGTAATGTGTAACGATGAAGATATAAAGAAAACTAAAGTGATTGTATTTAATTTATTCTGACTAAACTTTCCGAAAATTCCTGGCCGAAGTTATTTTTAAAAGAAAATTTAAAATTAAATTGTATTTATTTATATTAAAATCCAAAAGCTTTAAATTTGAAAAAGATATTTTTTAAAAATTATTTTTAATTAATTTAATAATTTATACCATTAATCATCAAAGAAGTCATCATAGTCATTGAGAATATCATAATAAAATGCATTTTAATATTTAAATATTTTTAAATTTTTTAAATATTCTTTTAAATAATTTTATTTTAGTTAGTTAAATTAAAAATTTAAAAACTAATGAAAAAAATATTATATTTATTATTTTAGGCCGGCAAATTTTTCTTATTTCATAAAAGTGATAAACCGCTACCCGTCAATTTTATGGGATTGTTGCGTGGATAAACTTTTGTTATTTTTTGCTATTTTTTGAAAAAAGACATAAAAGAAGGATTTTAAATAAAAAATAAAGCTTTTTAAAAAATTAATCGGATAATTTAGTTATGAATTTTTAATTTAGAAATAAATTCATTTATTTCAGAGAGTTTATAGAAAAATTCTATAAATGAAGGGATTATTTTTGAAAACATTAAATACAGAAATTATTAAATAACTTTGAATTTTTAAATAAATTTTAATTAATTTTTAATTTTAATTAAAAATAAAGCTTGTAAAAATTATGCCGACATTTAATAAATTATTATTAATATATTTATCAAAATTTAAATTTTAAAATAATTTCTTTTAATAATTATTTTAAGGATTTTAGTTTTTAAAAAATAATTTGAATAAATTTTAAACTAAAATATCGAGGTTTATAAAAAGATTATTTTTTTAAATACAATTGAATGGAGTATAGTTTGGTATGTTTTGGTAAGTTTATTATTAAATGGCCAAAAAAAGAATTTTTTTGGCCAAACCAAAAACAAACATTCAAAAAAGGTTTTTCTTTTATTATTTAAAAGAGAAATTCTCTCTTTTAATTTATTTGTTCAGCAAAAGCTTTATTGGAAGTTAATAAAAAAATTTTTCTATTGAATTCAAACTTGGAAGTGAACTTGAAATTTAAAAATTAGAAGATAATTTTTCAATAATTTTTGGATACCCTAAATTCCAAATATTATTTTTAATTATTACCAATCGACTCGGCATGAAGAGGAGATTCGATTTTAGGTTGAAAATTTCACTTGAAAGTGTGAAAAACATCGAATTTATTATCTAGTTCGTTAATCATCATTCAAACCTCATATCTCAACTAAGGCAAAAACAATTATTATTAAAAGCAAATTATATGTATTATTCTTTTTTGTGTTTAAACAAAAATATATTTTGAAATCAACTATATATTTTTGTATTTTGATTTGTATTTTGATTTTTTTTAATATTCCCGAAGAATTTCAAAATTTATGTCTATACATAAATAAACAAAAGTGCAAATAAATCGGAATAAATATGAGGAGAAAATTTTAATCTGACGTAATTTAACTTAAATTTTTAAACAATTTAACAGTAAATTTAAAGTTAAAACGGCACTATTCGGTTATCTCCCACCATTTTATTTTTCTTCTCGATTTCCCGAATTAACTTTTTTATGCTTGCTCCAATCCGATTGAAATTCGAAAGCATTTGAAAGCATTGAATTGAAAGATTTTCGAAAGAAAAAAATTTTTCGAAAGCATCATTCGAAAGCCCTCGATGAGAGTCTCTTGAAGGATCATGTCTGATCGCCCATTAAGAAATGATAACTGTGAAAAACATCATTTCTTCGACTTAATATTTTAATGGACGATCAGATTTAATCAATCCAGTTGGAATAAAGATAGCGCTCATCAAGGCTTTCAAATTAGCAAAGATTCGTTAATTAGATCGAGTATAAAAAATTATAGCCTATCAAATTCGGAAAAAAGGAGAAGAAAAATAAAATGGTGGGGGATAACCGAATAATACAGTTAACAGCATATTTTTTGGCTATTATTTCAAAATAAACAATAAATAATTTTTAAATTACTTTTCAACTTCAATGTCAACGAAAATTTTATTTTTCATTCAATTTATTTTTCCAATATTTTTAAATTCTTTGGCAAATGAACTAAAAAGTCAGCGATTCCGATTTTATTATTTTAATCCTGCCGATGTCAATCATTTAAAAATAAAAAGAATAAACATAAATAATTTTTATTTGTCTCTTGAATTGGAATGTTTTTTGCCGGAAATAGATTGTTCTGATCTTTATATAAAATTGAAAAGCCAAATTGGTTTTGTTGAAACCAATGACGATTCTTTTGCAGAAAAGCTTAACAATGGGTTAACGAAGATTCATTTAAAAACTGAATCGAATAAATTTCGCGGAGGAATCATGATTGGGCTCCGAAGCGCAAGAAGGGTAAAGCAAAGAATAATAAAATAAAATATTATTAAACAAAAAATAATATTTTTAATAGGGTTCCGTTTTCGGTTCGAGCTAGCGGTCAGTATCGTTTCTAGGTATCGGTATCGGCTCAAAATGGTGGTATCGGTCTCGGTATCGCGTTCTTGAGTATCGGTCAATCTCGGTCTCGGGTTGGCCGATACCAGTATCGTTTTGATCAACTCTAGTTCGAGCCGACGTTCGGTGCATTTTTTGAGTTTGGGTTTTTTCGATTCGGTTCGTTATCGAGCTTTTTGAGCCGAAAAGCGAGCGAGCTGGCAACCCTAATTTTTAAATTAACATTTTTTAGGATGTTGTGCAAATAGAGCCTCTCTTTCATGAAAATATTAATTTTGAACCTGAAGAGGTTAAAGAAGGAAATAAAGAGTTCCAATTAACTAAATTTGAATGGAATTTGAATTTTGAAGAAGGCTATGACAGTCATATAAATATTTGTTTTAAAGCCAAAAATGAAAGAGGATATTTTATTTATGTTATGTTATATTCTCCTAAGACAATAAAATTTTTTGTTAAAATTGAAGGAGAGGAAGAAAGATGCGCGTTTGGAAAATTTAAAATAATTTCAGAAGATTTAAAGAATTTTTTTGACGAATTAAAAAAATTTGTTTATGTTTTTGCTGTCAAAACTAATGATGAGACAAACTTTGAAGAAGGAAAAATGAATTTTATTGAATTAACAAATTCTGACCGAATTTTTTACAGTAGGGCTAAAATTTTACGTTTAGGTCCTTTATTCGCCGATGGAAGTTTTGAAATTTATTTTGACAAAAATGGAAATCTGAATGACTTTTTATTGTCGAATAGAATGTTGTTAAAAGACACAAAAAATATTTTGAAAGATTATTTAATTAAAAGAGAATTGGGGGATAAAAAGAATGTTTTTAATAAAGATGAACAAATTTGGTTCCGTTATGTGGAGGATAAAATTCAAAAAAATTTTAAGAATGAGAATGGAAAGTCCAAATTAATTGATATTTATTAAATTTTGATGGAAAGCATAAAAATCAAAAAAATAAATAAAAATTACTAAAATAAAAATTGATAAATTCATTAATTTAAGAAAAAAAATGGCAAAAAAATGGAAGAATAAAAATAATTAAAGAATTGACTTTCGACTAATCCTTCATTTCAATAAATTATTTATTTTCTTCAATTCCCATTCATTAATATTCGATATAAAAATTAATTTCAAATATAAATATAATAATTACTAAATCTTTTTTATTTTTCATAAAATTTGATAATTTATTTTAATATTAAAAGATTTTGATTAAATTAAAAATTTATGTGTTTAGAAATTATTTAAATTTCGATCATATAGTATAAAAGATTGTAGATATATGTATGTATAGTATAAATAAAAGATAATAAATAATATATACCGTATTTCTCATATTAGAGCCCCACTCTAAAATAGAGCCCCACATTGGAGGATAGTAGAAAAATAGAGCCCCATGGGGCTCTAATATAAGTATGATTATTTACATTTATTTAACAAGAGAGAAAAGAATATTTAATAATTTTGTTAATTAAAGATAAATATTATTTAAAATAATTAATTTATATTATTTATTTCTTTTGTTAAAAATCTCGTAAATTCTTGGGCGTTAATTATCTTAACAGTTGATGTATGTTAATCTTGCGCCTAAAAACAATAAAATATAAATATGAAGGATTAAATAATTCTCAACCTGTTCCTTTTCCAACATTGAAATTCGGTTCCAACAAATGGAATGCCGTTTTAGACAAATCTACTTCATAAATCTGACAAGAAGGGCACTCGTTAGTTATTGGGATGATTAAACTTTTAAAATAAAATTATTAAATAAATAATAATTTTAAATAAAATACTTGTTGTTTTTATATTCAATTTTTACACATTTACTATTACAAACTTTGTCGTTACGCACTTGCCCGCCGTTTTTGCAAGTGTTCCATTTGGCGTTATTATCGAATAGATCTTTTGAAACTGCAGCGGAAAAAGCAGCCTTAAAAATAAAATTTGGGAACTTTTGTTTTACATCTACATTCCATTTCCGTCTCGAAAAAAAGTCAATTTTTAATTTTTTCTGGAATTAATTTCGTATCTACATATAAATTTCCTTTTCGCTCATACATATATTGGCATTTTATTTTTAGAGTATTTACTCGATTAATTCCCCTGGGGAATTATTTTTTCAACGCATCCGTGGCATGGGGAATTATTCGAGAGAGGGGAATTAATCGAGTAAATACGGTAAGCTATGAACTTATAAAGACTGGCCATACATTAAAAACATACAAGTATAGTAATAACATTAGAATCATAAAAAATTAAAATAGCAAAGTATTTGCTCAAAATCATTTGTGATATTTTAAACAGGAAAAAAGTGCCAAGTCTTTAAAATAAAAAATTTAGGTCCACAAACCACATTATTGTCAATCCCACAGGCTCCCCCATATCCAAACGATCGTTCATAAAAAGTAAATGTTCCAAGTATTGGTTTGTTAAGGTGTTGATCTATTCCTCCTGTAGCTGTTTTACTATCAAAACATCTTGTATTCATATAATGATTATAAATATTTAGATATTCCTTGTTTATATCCGAAAGGGAATCAGGAAAGACAACACCCTCATAGTCATTATCTTTAATTAATTCTGTTGTGGTTAGAATATTTTCTGTATTATTTCCATTGATGGTAGTAACAGCCTCAGTTACTTCATTACAAGAAGTAGTGACTGAATCAACTGGAGCAGCGTTTAATATTTTAAAAGAAAATAAAAATATTATTATTAAATTAATTAAAAGACACGAAGCCATTTTATTTAATTTTTTAAATTTTCTAAAATAAAATTTGCTTCTTTAAAAACTCTTTTATGGCAACTAATATGGTGTAGAATTTTATAAAAATAAAATTTGCCACATCACATGTTGAGTGGATGATTATTTTAAATATTTTTTTATTTTTCCAAAAAAATTTTTTATTTATTTAAAATTGAACCAAAAAAATTCTTGTTTTAGTGAATTATTTTAATACAGGGGGGTAGTTCAATATACTCCATGTGTTTTTCTAAAAAAAATTTTCTAAAAAAAAATTTTCGTAATTATTTAAAATTGAACCAAAAAAATTCTTGTTTTAGTGAATTAATTTATTTAATTATTGAAGTAGTTTTCTACAATCAAACAATTTTCTACAATTTTCTATAATTTTCTACAATTTATTTACTAAATACTATACTACTGAATAAATTAACAGTTGCCACGCCCAGATGGTGAGGCAATCAAGGGGGTATTTCAATATACTACTATAATACATTTGCCGTCACCAGTGATAAAATGAAATCTGTCAAATCGCAGGCCAATTCCGGCAATTAGCAAATATTTGAATACACCCCACACCCCCCCCCCCCGTCCCTATCTTTTTTTATTCTAGCTTCTTTGTAAGAACCTTAGTAGACTTTTAAAAAATAAATTTCATTACTTCTCATTAACTCCTCAAGGTAATAAATACTTAAAGACGCTTAATTTAATTATATCAAAAATATTCGCATAAATTTGTCTAGCATTTTTATTCAAAATATTTTTAAAAAATATTTTTTCTTTCTGCAATTTTTTTAAAAATTTACTTCCTCCAATTTTGCTAAAAAAATTTATTGTTTGAATTAATGAATTAAATTTTTTTAGAATTTTCTTTTTTAATTTTAAAATATTTTAATGATTGACGCATTAAACTAAAAAAATATTTTTGTTCCAAAATATTCTTTGTAAACCACCGATTTTTAATTTTATTGGATTTTTAGTTAATTTTAATATTGATAAATAGAATATTTAAATAATTAAAAGTTATTTTGATGGATTCCATATTTAAAAGTTATTTTGATGGATTTGATTATTAAATAATAACTGATAATATGGTCTAATTAAGCTTAATAAATCTTTAGGACTAAACAAAAATATTTTTGTTTGATTTTAATTAATTATATTTTATTTTTTGACAAAAGGGCATTCTCCATTTTTATAAACAATACTTTTTATCAATACTCTACAGAGGTGACCAGGATATCTCTGTTTTTTAGTCCAAACTGTCAGTTTCCGACTTTTGATGGTTTCAGAATCATTTTTAAACTGATGCGCACTTAAAACCTTCTATATCCACAATTATTGTACTGCCGTTGGATATTAGCTTTTAGCACATAATATTTAAATATAAGAGTGATTCTATTGTTCAGTATTTGTCTTAATATCTGTCAACGTTATTCTATTTATCTACAATACATAAATTCGATTGTATAAGAAATAAAGTTTTGTTGAACGGCAAGTCGAGATTATTTTCCAAATTAGATGTAAATCAATTGATTTTTACAAAAAAATTTCATAACTTATTCAACAACGAGTTTTTTATTAAAAAGTTTTTGAAATTGACTGTTTAAAAAATTAAGTACTTTTACTAAAATTATTTTTAATAACTTTTAGATTATTCAATTTAATTGTCAAATGTACTTTTTTAAAAATTAAACTTTGCAATATTTGATTAACTGTTTTCTTTTGTTGAAAGTACAATTAAATTTCTTTGATATTTAATTTCATTTATAATTTCAATTATGTACTTACGGGTGTGTGAAACTAGAAATTGAGATTGATCTGAAAAATGTTAATTTAAATTGAACTGTCTCAGTTTTCCATTAATTTTTTTGTACTTAATTGTTGCTTTTAATTTTTTTGTACTTTTTCTATCAAGTCTAGACAAAAGTTGAAAGAAACAGGTGTTAAAATTACAAATTGAGGGCATTCTTAAATGATTATAAATAATCAGATTAAATTAGTTCGAAATAAAATTTAATTTAATTTTATAAAAAATGCCCTCTAAACTCGAAAAAAATTTAACTGGAGTTATTTTATATTTAATAAAATTAGCTTGTGGAATGTCCCAAATTTTTATATTAATTTTTATTTTGTTAAATTTATTTGATTTAATATCTTCAAAAGGACAATCACCCCCTTTTGGACGTTTAAAAGTACAAAATGGAAGATTAATGAGTGAAAAAGGAAAAATTATTCAATTGAGGGGAATGTCCCTATTCCATAGCAATTTACAAGAAGGGACTATATTTTACAATGCGGAAACAGTCCGTGCATTAAAATGTAGTTGGAGAGCTAATATTGTGAGTTTTTGAGATGAATGTTAAATATAAATAAATAAATTATGGCAATAAATACATTACAAACTCCAAGATTTATTTCCAATAGTAATTGAGTTAGAAGACTTGAGTGAGATGGAAGTGTGCTGGGACCATTCTATAATTCAACCTAGGCACAGATTACATTATATTCCCTAAGGACAGCATTGGGTTGGCCAGACCCAAGCATATACCTCTTCTAAGCTACACCGGTGTGCTTTCCCTTCGGGGCAAATATATTAAAAGACTGATTAACTGCGAACTGATTTATTGGAGAAACATTAAACATTATATAAACATAAGCATGTGAATGGGATGTGTCACAGGAAATAGTAATAAACAATAAAAATATTAAAATGGCAGGGAAAATCCATTAAATATAAAAGATTACAAAAGATTAACTATTCAATTATATCCAAAAGATCACCATAGGTTAGGAAATAAACGGATATGTCTTACACCTCCCTTGCCCATCTAGACCGTCCCTGGTCGTCAAAATAATTTGTCCCCTATCTATTTTTTGTGCTGATCAAAACCGAAGTTAAAAATCTTATCTGAGAATGTCTCACTTTTATGGCTATTTATTATGAGCCATTTTTTCTTGCTCTTCGAGCATGTATGTTATCACTCCCCTTTGTTTTCTAGGACCGTCTCTGGTCCGAATGAGTATTGTCAATGGCTAAGAATTTTGATTGTGCCTAGGCACTCCGAGAATGCTTCTTTCCATATTTAGTTTTTTGTTCTAGAGACATTCTCATTTAATTTTTCTTCGGTTTTGACAGCTTTGGTAGTAGAAGTGGGCTTTTAATTTATAAATCACCTAG